AATGTCATGCATAATTAGGAAATTGATTGATGAGTGCTTAGGATTCAACAAATAAAAAAGGGTGAGGTTTGAAAGTGTTTCGTGGGATGCTAATCCGCCTCATGTGTAACCGAACTCCATGATCCATGATTTTACTATTAGTTTGACTAGTTCCTTCACAACTGTACCTAGTTAATTGACTTTTCCATTATTATATGGCTCTTTGCGTGCTCAATGGACTAATGTTTATCTAAATTGATTGGTGACGACTCGAGTCTATTATATAAGTTCACAGTCCTCTCTCCCATAGTTTACCTGAATCTAATATATGGAAAGATTTTAAGCTACGTTTGGTAGGTTGGATAAAACTTCGTATATGATAAATTTTATCATATCTAGTGTTTGGAGTTATGCGAAATCTGGATATGACCCAGGTAGGAATATGTGATATTTGGAAAACTGAAAAATAAGGTGTCATGCAATCTTTCCCAATTTTGCGCTTGCTGATCGCTTTTCCTCTCTTTTGCCTAGAGTCACCATCATCTCTCTCTCTCTATCTCTGTTTTCTATTTCCCACACTAGGATGGCCACCACAGAACTAGAGCATGAGCATCGCGAAGATACCCATAGAAGCCTACGCCAACTCTGATAACTCTATAAAAATAAAGTTATTTTACTTACTTTAGGCAACAAATAATATTTGTGAGAAAATATTTAGATTTCCTTCTACGTTCTCAAATTTTCCTTGTTTATGTAGAATAATGAGATATGGAGAAAATAAGGAAAAAAATGGCAAAAAGAAGGAAATGAATATGCTACTAGAGAAAAGTTAGAAGGTGAATACCAAATCAGGAATTCTGTGATTTATTCCCTATGGTTGCGTTTGGTTGTTTGGATTTCTAGTCAGGACAGAATTGGATAGCATAGGATATGAAATTCAAGAAATTTGTTATATCCTATATATTGTTTGGTGAATTGCAATAATAAAGCCGAAGATTTTCACATCTTACCATGTCTATTATTTGCTATGAACATCATAATAGTGTAAATGAACCTAAAAATTGCACAAACTGAGATAATAAAAATCTCTCACGACACTCTTACCTACTTCATTTTTATTTGCTTATTTTTTTATTATTTTTCCCTCTCTTTTTTAATTAATTTCTTTTTTTATTTCTTTTTCCCCTTCCATCATTCTCTAATAAAATTTTATTAAATTGAAAACTATACTAATGTACCTAAAATATTTAATAAATATAAATACTAAATGTATTTATTTATATATATGAAATTTATATCATAAGATAGGAAGAAAATTGAATATATAAATAAAAATAAGAATAAATAAAAAAGAAATTATTTTTATTTTTTGTTATTTTGAATTTTTATATTAAAATTCAAATATTATTTTTATTTTATTAATTTAACAAGTTTGTTATTCGAGAAAAATAACTTTTATTTTATGGACATTAGAAATCCTATCTACCCTTATCCCACCTCCCCTATTGGATAATTTTTTCCGAGCTATATCAATTTTATATCCGACTTTATTCTGTCTTGGGCAAGCACCAAATATGGGATAGGATAAAATATTTTATATCCTGAATTTTATTCCGACTACCAAACGTAGCCTAATTTTATGCGAAAAATAAGTAATTGCCTTGTGATAGGAGTCTTAGATGTTATCCTAATAAACATTGAGAGCTTGGGGGATAGCTAGTTTTTATTTTTATCATTTTTGCTTTCACTGTTCTTGGAGTTTTTCAAGTATTTTGAAGAGAAGACAAAAAGTGCTGATAGAATTCTTGTTCTTTGATTCAAGATGTTGGGTTTAATATATATTTCGTTTTTTCTTCTATTATGTTCAAATTTTCTTTTATTAGGGTTACGATGTAGTCTAACCATAATGATATGAATTTCATACTTTTTACGTTTTGTAAGTAATTTAATTCATGTAAATTATATATTATTGTGCTTAATGCCTTTAAGTGACTGGCCATCATTTGGATGATCGCATGTTTGAGATTAAGAAGTGATAATATGCAATTGCTCCTTATAATACATAACCTTGAATTAAATATGGATAGAACTATACGATGTTATTTGTATAGCTTTTGGTGATAAGGTGGTCCAAAAGATTCATTATAAACCGGGAATATTCACAGATTTTAATGCACTTATATTTATTTAAATTCACATAGAGATATAGTTTATTGATAAATTGAGTAGGTTTGTTATACCTAGAGATAGGATAGTAAATAGACTACGAAATTCCGTTATCACATGTTCTTGTATGCTTAATGATATGAAATTCAAATCTAGTGGTTATGGTGAAATTGGATGCTCTAACATATTTTATTTGATTGATTATCTGCCTTTAATTTCGATATTTCATTTTTAAAATTGTTAATTTTTATTTATTCTCAATTCTATTTTGATCTGTTAGATAAATTTTAGAATTAGTTTAATTTTAATATTTAATTGGTTTATTAATCATCAATCTCTATAGGATGATACTTTTCTCATTATTATATTACTTGTTTATGTTCATTGGCACGTTCATTTGTATTTAAAAGTTTACAAACAAACGCGTTCCTGAGGTGGACCTACCCCACAAAGGCCTGAGCAGACTCTAATGGCTATTGCTCCTCCCACCGGTGATGACCTGCTTCTCGCCTTCGGTCACTGGGAAAAGCAGGGAGCTCGCCCGGCCCTTCCTCTTCTTAGGTCACTCAACTCTATCTCGGCGGGGTGCTTCGTAATCTTGATCAAAGCTCGGCCCCTCCTCCGTGAAGAAGATGATCCGACAGAGGTGGCAACCGGGGCGATAGAGCTCCTCAATCGGGTCACTCGGAGCGAGTTGAATTGGAGGAGCTGCTCACTCGTGAATTGAATCTCGAGCGCTGTTACGGTAGAAGCTGTTGAGGCAACCAAACGAGTAAGAGCTTCACGCTCGTCAAAGGGATGGATTTGCCATGGAAGATGAAGGCATCGCGAGGTTTATTTTAATTTTAATTATGTAAATCAAACACTTATTTGGATAATATATATTTGAATCCATGCTATATTCGGACGTCAACAAACATTGGATGGGATATTTAAAATCCCATCTTATCCTTATTTTATCCGACATAATTCGATCCAACAAAAATGTTCGGCCGAGCAAACGCAGCCTTAAGAACCTAAGACGCTATTTGTCTATTAATTATCGTTGAAAAAATGAAAATAAAAAGAAATAACTTCAAAAATACAAAGATTAAAACTATAATCAACTTTACCTTTTAAAAAAGTTAAAATAGAACCCTAGCAAGTGATGACCGAGAAATGAAAGTGGCTTATAGGGTGATCAAGTTTAGGATAGAAACCCGGAATTAGACCGGGCAGAGTTGGTTCCCAATTTGTGAAATTAGGAATCGGCTCACCTGATCCTTGAACCAGATTGGACCGATCAGATTAGTTCCAAGTTTAGTCCCGGAATCGGTGGTGAATTTTTTTTTTTTTTGGTTTTTTCTATTCCCTAAAAAGTGGGAGTTTCCTAATATTACTAATTAGAGTTTACTTCAAAATTAAAAATAAAAAAAACGATTAAGAAATCTTGATCAATTTTGGCGATCACTTCCTTACTTGGAATCGAGAATTGGACTAGTTATTTTCGGTTCCTAAGTTGGACGGGACCGATGCACACTCTAGTTAGTGACATGCCCCCTTTTCTCTCTCCACTCCAAACATCAAATCGTCGAAAGATTACCCAAAGGAGCGAGAACTCGACTCAAACCTCAAAAGCATCAAAACATAAAGGGAAATTATCAAATAAGGACCCAAAGTGGGTGCCTTTTTTCAAAAGAGGACCTCAAGTGGACAAGGTATCAATTAAGGACCCAAAGTGCCAAATTAGTATCAAATAAGGACCTGAGCTCGCCGGGCGGCCAAATGTTATCCGGCCGGTGACCGGCCAACATTTCAGGCACCGGAATAGGGGCAATTTTGTCCAATTTTTTTTTCTTTTCTTTTCTTCTTCCCCGGTCGCCGGCCGGCAACCGCGACCGGGCGAGCCGAGGCCGGCGGAGCTTAAGCTCGCCGGCCATCTGGGCGAGCTCGGCCGGCGAGCTCTGCCCAGATCAGGGCGAGCTCGAGCTCACCGGCCATGGCGAGCTGCCGGTGAGCTCCGCCCAGATCTGGGTGAGCTTGAGGAGGCCGATCTCGCCCGGATCGCGTAGTCGAGAGCCTTGGCGGGGCCGTCGCCGGAGGCGATGGTGTCGCGCGTGAGCTTGAGGAGGAAGGGCCCGAGATCCGGGTTGTCGAGGGCCGTATCGGGTGGGGCGGGGCTGGCGGCGGAGCCCGGGGACTCCGGTGGGGGCTTCCGTGGGGAGAACTTGGAGCGGGAAGGGGAAGGGGAGGGTGCCATGGCCGGCGAGCTCGAGCTCGCTGAGACCGGCGGGAGCTCGAGCTCGCCGGCCATCTAGGCGAGCTCGGCCGACGAGCTCCGCCCAGATCTGGGCGAGCTCCGCCCTCGCCAGCCCGCACAGCCATGGCGAGGGCCGGCATGAGCTCGAGCTCTCCCAGATCTGGGCGGAGCTCGCCCAGATCTGGGCAGAGCTCGCCGGCGCCCGAGATGGCCGGCGAGCTCGAGCTCGCCCAGATGGCCGGCGAGCTCGAGCCCTCGCCCTCCGCCGGCGAGGTCGCCCTCGCCCGCCCGGCCCGGTCGAGGGCGACCCTCGCCGCGTCGGGCAAGAGGGCCTCCGCCCGAGGCCGGCGACCTCCACCGGCCCGGCTATGGCCTACGGAGGAAGAGAAACAAAAAAAAAAAAAAAAAAAGATGAAATGTCTTTGGTTCTTGAAATTGAATCGTGTCTTCAGCCGTACGGCGAACCAGCGCCCTTACCTGAGATAAATTGAGTATTTCGGACCCCTATTTGAGACTGATTGGGCACTTCAGGTCCTTATTTGATACTATGTTCACTTTGAGTCCTCTTTTGAGAAAAGGACCCCACTTGGTCCTTAATTGGAATTTTCCCAAACATAAAACCTATTTTGCCGGATAGTCTGCGATCGAGTCCAACTTGAGTCGACTCGCCTTCTCCTGTCGTAGCGCTAAAAAAATCTCGAAAAAACAAAAAATTTTGAAAAGAAGGATAAGAAAGGATTCCCGAAGCAGCTTATTTTGCTTAGAGATCAAGCGTGATCGTGTGAATTCCTCTGCGTCTAGTCCAAACTTAGGGTTTCGATTCGCTCCCTCCCGATCGAAACCCTAGCTGAAGCCAATGGATCCCTCTTCCAATCACTTGGATATATTCGACATCTACAGCCGATTCTGCGGTAACTTGAGACGTGCCGATCGATCGTTCAATCGCTGTTTTGCTTTGGCGAATTCATCTGGGTCGTTTCTTGCGAGTCTTGAACCCGATCTTGTCGTTTCTTGTTGTTTCGTTGGTTTGCCAGAACTAGGAAGGGTGGTGCCTGACGTGTGTTTTCTTGATTTTGATTGATGGTGTCTCAATTGCCCGTTTGTTTGTCTATGGTTCTTGGTGCGCTTTCGCTTTTGAGTTCCCAATTTTTTTTTTCAATTTGATGAATTGGCTTGCTCAAAGATAAATTAGAGCGAAACGGGAATGCAAGGTGTTTGATGGAATATCTAGCTGAATTGAGCTTGGTCATTTAGTCGATTGAGGTCTTGTATCCGTGCAGTAGTTCCCTTTTCTCTGTCTTCTACTTTGTGGGTGAATTGTTCACTGCTGCATTATCTAAAACTGGCTTGTTGCATGCGATGGATACGGGATGGCATCTGCTCGTTTTGTCTCCTGTCCGCCAGTTGAACTGGCTTAAATTTTGCTTGCAGACATTAAATCTGGAATTGCTTGCGCACGCGCGGAAAAATGTATGGGACGAGATGACGAGTCAGAAACAACGAAACTTTCAAGGGAGGCATTGGCTCAGCTCTTAAAATTTGTTGAATCAAGATTGCCATCGAGGTATGCAACTCTACGGCTTAGGCATGCTACATGATGGAAGCTGCCAGCGGTAGATTTGTCAGTGTTGGACACAAGAGAGCATATTGCACATTATTTTAGTCTTATCCCAATCCACGTAAACCCATAATTTGATTTGCAGTATTAAATCAAACTGTTGAGAATTATTGTTCCTTTTGTGCACTCTTTTGCTTGTAATGTGTCATGGGGCTGTATGGTTAGTTGAAATATGTTAGCCAATTCTATTGAGGGATTTTATCTGTAAAGATGCATCTTAGACTATTAAGAGGAGCTTGCTACAAGGCCCATTAGTTTGAGTTTAGAGGTTTTAGTATGTTTTTAACCATCAGCTTCGGGCATTTTCTTAAATATGTTCACTATGGTTTTCCTCAAGAAGTTTGGTTGCTTTTGTGACAGGGATTCGATTTTTAATGAGCTCTTCAAGCTTATGTCGCGATTGAACTTGCTGGTGAGATTATGTCCGTGGATTCTTATATTTTTGCCATTTTGAAATGAATATATATTGATAGAAACACTTTTCTAGCTCAGCATAAGCAGTTGTTTCAACCGTGTAGTTCATTTCATGCTTGAACGGATAGCAGCATGACTGGCATTGCTAGTTTTATATGTGGTTGATGGATTTTCTTGTTACTTCTACTCTGTTCCTGCAGGCAGATTTTGCAGAGTTTGCATGCTTCTATGAATTTGTTTTCTTCATCTGCCGTGAAAATGGACAAAAGAACATCAGTAAGCTGCTTCTTTTCATCTATATAATTTTCTATTGACTCTCTTTTTGCCAAATTATTCTCCTGAAAGAACCTCTTGCTCTAGGTTTGGTAGCTTTCATTTTATTAATGCGATCCTTCTATCCTGCATGATTGGCAGCTGTAAGCAAGGCTATTACTGCCTGGAAACTTGTATTAGCTGGGAGGTTTCGATTGCTTTACCAGTGGTGCGAATTTGTTCAGGTACTGTTACTCCATTCTTTGCTCGGTGTTCTTTCAGTATGGTAAACTAAATATACTCATTGCCAACAACAGAACCATTCACTATGGCACCCTAATCACCTGCAGAAATAAATGGGGTTTTTGCATCGTCTATCATTTGGCTATGTACTGCAATAGATCATCCGTTCCGCTGACTTTACAACATGGCTAATTAGTCACCTAGCCTGTATGAGTGTGCTATTTGATGAGTTGAGGAGAAATAGTCTTCAAGTGTTTCGTTCACAGCTGTAAAATTATTTCACAATCAATATTTGTTTTATCCTCCTTTTCATGGGTCTTCTCTTGTTTGATTCTTTCTCTTAACTAGTCCTTGATTTTGTAGTTGCTGTGTGTTATGTCTATTAATGGTTTATTCAGCTTATGTTTGTACTTGAGAATTCTCTTGAACATATTCTGGTATATAAGTTTGTCTTTGCATATGGGGAGGCACATGTGTCCCTTTTTCTCTGTTCCAATTTTCTGTCGGTTGGATCAAATTATGTAATATATGTGGAGATTCTCGCTTTCTTAATTCTTTGTTTAAGGGTGACGCTATTTCTGCAGCCATCTGAGTTGCATACCCAAATATTTCGGTGAGTTTATAGATATGCCCTAGCATCAAAACAGTGGAGCACGTTTAAACTGATGACGTTGAAAGAACTTTCTCTCTCTCTTTCTCTCTGTCTCTGTCTCTGTCTCTGTCTCTGTCTCTCTCTCTCTCAACTTAGCGTCAAAACAGACTGCAAATGTGCCACTTGGTGTTATTCTTCTCGCCCATAACTTAGTCCTTCCGAACGCTATTTGTAGAGTAAGTCGAGTGTGCCCTTTAAACATTCAAGACACTTCAAAAAATCTGAAAACTGCTAAAGCAGCTGAATTAGAGCACATTAACCTCAAATGCTGAGCCATCCACAATATCAAGCACATCATTATCTGGATCGATTAATAAGATGATCGCAGTTATGGGTCTGTGTGAAAAGAATGGAAGGGTTTTTCATTTCTGGACTTGGAGAATATGCAGTGGTAGCATTTTGAACTTTTTTGATTTATCACGGAGCAATTTTGAGTATTCTTTATTTCCTGAAAATTGTTGTCAATTGGTTTCAATGCTTCATTTTCATGGTATGATTGCCATTCCTTGTATAAAACCTGCATATCGATCCCCTTTTTTGCGCTTTCTAGACCAACAATCAACATTAGATCATGTCTTAAAAGGATGTGGTTAAGTGGAGAGAAGAATTGGTCATTACTGTTGAAATCTGTCTTGGGAACAAATGGTTTTTTTGTAAATCTCATTGCGGAGTACGACTCTTTGTTTCAAGGGGAATTTGCTGTTGCATCTAACCCTTAATAGGGCCTTAGGAATTCTTTTCTTCCTCTTTATTCTGAGACCGAGAGAGAGAGAGAGAGAGAGAGAGCGCACTTGACGGTTAACTCATGTTGAGGTCATGTATCAAAAACTGTTCTTTTCACAACCATTGTGGTCTTGGATATAGTATTACCTTTAATATGTTTGAAGTTGCTTTTAATAAGATCTCTGTGCTTTGAATTCAAACTTGGAGTTTATTAGTGAGTGCCCTGGAGGCACTTGTTGAGTATTATAAAGTATGCCCGACAGATGATGCTAGGACACTTGAGTGCCGGCTTGGCCTCCGATCCGGTTCAAAACTGGTCAAAACTGGCCAAATCGGTGAGAAACAGACTAACCAATTTGATTTAGACTGGCTCATTAGACTGATTTTGCACTTTGTAAAAAATAAGAGTGGGGATGACACACGTACAGTTGAATCATGACTTCCTTTCCCTTTATTGCCTCTCAACCAACTGGGCTATGAATGTCCTTGTTAATACGAAGGCTGTAAAATTCTTTTAAACATACACTGTTTTCTAAAAACGCGGGAAGGACCTTTGGAGATTTGAATCACGCTCTTTGAAATGTGCTCAAATGAATTTGCCAACTCAGTGATGCACTTAAGCTAATCCTGCATTTTGTAAGGTAGAAAATTATATAATTTTGAACAGTATGTTAAATAATCAAACGGCATGGTTGGACCTGTTAAAACCACGTACTGGTCGGCCATCCGTTATGGCTTTCAGCACTGTTGTTAAAACACTGATGATAATTGGAAATGATCGTTATCTACCATCTGTTATGCTGTGCTGAGCGTATATTTTTTAAGGCAAATTTCATCTTCTATTTGCTTTTTTTTGGTCAAACATCTTCTATTTGCTTGGAGCAGTCATGTTTGGGGGTTTTTTTGGCTGTTAACAAAGTTCCATGATCGGATGATAATTATTCAAACTTAATGAAGATGAACACTATACTGAAGTTACTTACCAAAAAAAACACTATACTGAAGTTTACTTACCAAAAAAAAAAACACTATACTGAAGTATAAATAGCGTTACTGTCGCTTCATCTTTTTTAAGTGGCCTTTAGTAAAAGAGAGTTCATGTGCTTTGAATTAGAATTAAGTAATCTTGTGGAAAATGCTTCTTAAGCTTTTCTAGCTCTGTGATTGGTCCTAGGTTGTGTGAAAGTAGTATAGATGTCAGTAGTACTGATCCCTGTGTTTAATGAGAAGTGAGTACAGTTATTGGATGAATGTGGTTAAGTCATAGCGGTTTTCTTAAAAAACTTGTGGTGATTGGAAATGATAATCATGTACCCTTTTAGGGTGTTTGGTGTTAACTATGCAAGTTAAGTACTCTATTTGCATGGAGCTGTCATGTTTAAGCATCTCTAACTGTTTTTGAAGATGCTTCAGATGTTCATTTTCTTGAATACTTGTTTTGGATCAAGGAAAATTAGTTTCATTTCTTCCTACATTTATGGTCCTGTTTCTGACATTTTGTTTGCATAAATTCTCTTTGGTTTCCCTATTCTTCTACCTCCTTTAGTTTTTCTAGTGATTCTCTTCAAGCATATTGAAATATTGGTTCCTCCAGAAAAACCAGCGATATAACATCTCTGAAGATACTTGGCAGCAAGTTCTAGCATTTAGCCGCTGCGTACATGAAACTCTAGAAGGTTATGATCCCGCAGGTATTGAATCTTTATAGGTCCTCCGAACTTCTATTGCAGTGTTGAAATGGTCATTTCTGTGATGTATTGTTGTTAAGCTACTTTTGGTCCACCAGTCGTGCTGCTTTTCAATTACTTCAAAGATGTGGCAATAACAGTTGCTTTTGCAACTTGACTTTCTATAGAAACAAGCAGAGACATTGTCGGCCAGGGCTTTTATGTGATTTTTTTCCTTATGTCCTAGAAATCAAATTTGGCATTTTCTTAACTCTAATAGTCTTTCCTGAAGGACTTCATCTTTGTAAAATTTGTCCGAGTATGGCATGTACACTTTGAGTTACACCTTTTATTTGAGTCTCTCCTCTAGTTTTCTTTTCTGCTTACTTCATTTGGTGGACCCACTTATTTCTGCTGGTCGCTGTAGCCTGTTAGAATAAATTACTTGGGTTTAGGATTATCATGATGTTGCTGTGAAAGATAACTTCTTCGATTAAATACATTCTCTATCATTTTTAATGAAGCTTCATGCCGTTAATTATCTCCGTTTACTGTTGTTTCTTTCCAGGTGCTTGGCCTGTCTTGATAGATGATTTTGTTGAGCATATGTACAGGTTCGTTAAATCTTCACCAATCTTCATAACCTTTTCGACAGAGGCTTGAATTGTTCAGGTCTTTCACTAATCAAAGTCTTTACTTTTCTGAAGCCTCCCTGACTACTACTTTCATAAAATCTAATGAGACTGTTTTGTTAAAACTTGTTGCTGTTTATGAAAAGTCATTTAGCAATAATTGTTTTTAGGGTAATTGGTGACTTTAGCTGCATATGCAGTTGTAGGGTGACAGTTCGAGCATGTGCTGATGCATATTTCCTTTTGGGCAGGGTATCGGGATCCGGCAACAATACTAACTTCCATTGTACCTGTGACGATTCAGAATCTCGTGATGACCCTCTCCCCAGTAAGCCAACTGCACGATTACTTAACTTTTCGTTTCCGTTGCTTCAGGGTAGCAATCATTTCCTGTAACTGGTGTTTTTTGCAGGATTGAAGAGCTATCATGGTTTGAAGAGGAAGTTTAATGACGACTTCACAAGGGTTAGTGAGGGACTCTCAGAAACATGCATTGAGGACTCGACTCATGATCATTGGTCCGTGATTTCCAAGAGAAGGCATAAGGTGAATTTGTCTTCACCCTTCGAGGATAGCCCTCCGACTGATACTCCAGATGACTTCATGGAAAATGTCAGACACAGTAGTCCGCTTGGCACCAAGTCTCCATGTGCAGTCGAAGGTTGCTTATCAAAGGGCTTCGCCGGGCTCTTCTCCGGGCGCTCCTATTTGCCATATAACCGGGAAAGAAGAGTTTCCTACACATGAGAGCTGTTATTTTAGCTATAAAGCGGGTTTTGGTAGATGACATAGTTTCGATATACCGATTTGCTATGCTTGGGATGACCATTCTTGCGCTCTCATGCCAATTACTGCGTTCCCCTCTTTGAAGTACTTGCGCTTGTTACAATTAAAGAAGTGATTGATTCATGGTTGTTGATATGATTTTGTCAAATACCAATATTGAGTATATGTTCTTTCTTTTTCTTGGCGTATACTGGGTTCCAAATCCAGCAAACGTCCCTGAACCCACCCCCACCCTTACCAAGGTACATGCTCTTCATTTCATCATACGTCGTGCTCAATATTGTCAATGTGTTTCTTCAGAACAGTTGCAAGTGGGCGTTGTCATGGATGGATTCAGCTTCTTTCTTCTTCAATTTCCGTTCCTTTTCTCTTTGGATGAAGCACAGAACTGATATTTCTTCATGGGCACGGTCGACCCACCCACTGACTAATCTAAACTAAACTTTTGTCTGTATTGTGTCGAGCCACGTCTCGTGCGATAATAAGATTTCATCCTACTATGTTCCATTTGTTTCGTTTAAAAAGACAAAAATTGCAAAAGATTGTTCCATATATCAGATTCTTGCCAGTTTCAAGAGATATGTGAGCTCCAATTTCATAAAATTTGGAGCCGGAAGAACTTGATTTAAAAATTTGTGCAAGTTCAAGTATAGACATTAAAAGTTCAAGGACTTGACTGTAAAAGAAGTACAAATTGAGAGACCAAAAGTGGAATTTGTCTGTTACATAATTTGCTATCCTAATTACATAAATTTGACTATTTTACATCATATTAGTAAATCGACATCTCCTATTATCGAAACCTTACATATTGCATCCTAAGATTTCAAAAACTTACATCATGTTCAGATACACTGTACATTTTATTTTTTGCTTAACTCATATCTTGTACAAGATGCAGCTTGACTTTTTCTTGACGTGAAACACCGGAAACTCACATATAAATGTTGATAGGTTGATTGATTTATAATTTTTTTTTCATATAATCTGGATGTTACTTAAATTTTGGTTGGCAAAAATGGTATTTTTATATTTGCTTAGTAGCAAACAAACAGACCATAACTTTATTTTTGGATAGGTTACAAAAACTTTGCCACATTACATCCTAAAACTATCGACAAACCTACTATTTGCATCTACAACTACATTCTTACGACCTGTTTGTTTGACCTTGATCAGGGGAATCATAAGTGTCTTGGGTTTTGAGCGTCTTCATGCTCTTTCTCAATTTCCAACATTTTAGAAATAAAATATACATTTCTGATATGAAAAATCATATGATTCACTATTTTACTGTTCGTATATTTTATAAGGTTTTAAATGATAAGATATTAAAGAAACTCAAATTATAAGCTCTACAAAAAATAAAGGAAAAGCAAAAAAAAAAATCTTTATAAACAGTCCCTAACATCTTAAGGAGTCATAACGTAATTTTTAACCTTTTCAATCATATCAATTTTAAATATTTATTAAATAATTTCACATAATTTCTAATGGGACTTCAAGGAAAATACTGATGCTGTTGTGAAAGATAAGGTGTAGGAATTAAATAAAATGAAATATGTTCCTAAAGATTATTTTAGAAAAATAATAACTTGCAAAAAAAAACGAAAAAATTGTTATCATAAAATTGTCAATGTTAAAAATTACGGTATACAAGGATGGTTACTCACTGAGGGTCCTTACATTTACGAACTGTATAGGAATGTTACTATCGTTGAGGTAAGTTACTAAGAAAAGGGAACAAAATTCACTATAAGTTCAGGTTATTTACGAGATTTCTTGACTAATAGTTTTTCATTTACAAAGTCATAAAAGAAAATTACAGTTATCATGGAAAATTACTACGTATTGATATTGTCACTCACGACAATTTTTGGTATTTTACTATACTGTTTTTTTTTTGGTAAGGGTATTTTACTATACTGTTGATTCAACCGAAAAAAGAAAAAACCATATTGTTGATTTATTGCTTCGGGTCAACATATTCAAGTTACACTCTCGATAACCAAATTATCATCCATAAAAGTAAATTACTTTGTTATAATGGCAAACGAATGACTAGATAAATTACAAATTTATAATATTAGATTACTACATATAGGTACGAGACTAGTCGCGTTTTTAATTTCTAGGGGACCGCAGAAGCGCCCTTCCATTCTCGATCACACTTTAATTTGTAATTATTGTTTTACTTTGGTCTCAAATTTGTAAAGATTTAATATACTGTTTCGTCGGAAATGTCCTCACGACGAAATATAATTCACCGAAAGTCGTTCTTCGGCTCTTAATGAAAGGAGACTGAGTTCTAGATCTAATTCCGGACAGGAGCAATCCAGGCGTGAATAAGGAACTTGATTTATATAGAACATCTAGACGAATCCATCCAATTGCTGGTGGCGTCCGAAGTTACAAAGACCTGAGCAACTATAACTAAGGAAACTGAAAGCACGGAATTGGAGAGTAAAGACTATAACTATGGAAGCTGAAAGTGCGAAACTTGGAAATAAAGATAAAAGACAACATTTGTTTTGTTCATGTATGCTGGGGTCCTTTTCTGTTGATCATTGGACGCTATTTATAGTGCAAACTTGGTAACCGTTCTTGGTGTTTTATCCAGCCTCTACCGTTGATTTTATCTTTACCGTTCATGTAATGACACATGTTCATCAACTATTATCGATCTTATCTTCTGTATGAAATGATAACCGCTTTCGAGCCCATTTAGTTTCTGAAAATGACAACCGTCATCAAGCCCATTAGTCCTCTAAGGCAACAACCGTCATCGAACTTTTCTCCGCTTAACACATGTCATGGTAACTGTTATCGAGCTTTCTCCGTTTAACACCTGTCTCTTGGGATGATAACCGTCATCGAACCTTTCTTCCGCTTGACATCTGTCTCTTGGGATGATAATCGTCATCGAACATTTCCTCCGTTTGACACTTGTTTTTCGGGATGATAACCGTCATTGAACCTTTCCTCCGTTTGACACTTGTCTTTCGGGATGATAAACGTCATTGAACCTTTCCTCCGTTTGACACATGTCTTTCGAGATGATAACCGTCATCGAACCTTTCCTCCATTTGACACCTGTCTTTCGGGATGATGTTATCATCATCGAACCTTTCCTCCGTTTGACACCTGTCTTTCGGGATGATAACCGTCATCGAACTCTTCCTCCGTTTGACACCTGTCTTTCGGAATGATAACCGTCATCGAACTCTTATTTTTTGTTGTGTCATACGTATTACGTACTTATTAAAGGCAGCACGTCCAACCATTACACCATAAGCTCCTTCCAACAAAGCCACATTCACCTGTATACACAAATATCCATGAAAAATTAGCGAGTCATGAATGTCATTTCAAATGATGGTGCTAGATCAGATGATTACACAAGCTCAAAACAAAATAACAGTTTCCCCAGCCTAAGTATCACCAAATGAAGATCTCAATCTATCCCTGAGCTACTCAAGGTCAGCTTAATTAGTTCGATTTCGATCAAGTTTGAACTGCCAGATAATTAAGTTGAGTCAGCTTGAGTTCAATTTTGAACTCAAGTAGCTCCTGAGCCTAATCTCGTAAATAAACTTTTATTTTGTTTTCGTTGCAAGACATTTAAACATAACATATTATCAATTATATTGTAGTTATAAAACTTGAGTTTGAGCTCAAGCTCGTGTTTGGGCTTAACTGAGCCGGGACTCATATTACGTAAGATAATTGATCAAGTCTCTCTTATTCAATTGGAGTTGAATTAAATAAATTGTCCGTGTCAACTCAACTCAGCTCCACTATGCCTAGCTACAGAAATAATAAAAACACGATTCCAAATCAAACTTATCATTGAGAATGTGAAGTACTTAAAACGATTTCCACATTCATAACAGATTGCTTAAAAGTTGCATTCTATACTCAAGCTCCACTTCTCACTTTGACATGCTTGCAGTCAAGCAGAATCTATCCTGGATAAACAAGAAAGTAAATCGCTTTGCCTCCTCCTATTGATCAAGGACATGGATCACCATGATATATAGTGGGCCAATCATTCATGTCCGCTTGCAGGCTCAATAATTCAATCTAAAATTAGCTTGACTAAAGTATGATTTTACCTCATCGATAGAGTTTATGCCTCCATATATTATAAACTTCAAGTACGGAAAGTCATGCAATAGAAAAAGTATTCATATCTGCATATGAGAAACTGAAATGATAAGATGAACATGTACTGTTTCCAGGTACGTACTTGAGAGGAGGAATCTGAAGATTGTCAGCAGGGCTGATGCCATTGAGTAGTGCCTTCCGAGAATGTATATTGAAATGTCTCGTTGGGGAGAGAGAAGAAACCTTGTAAATGAAATCACATGGAGAGGAATCAAGCACCATAAAGCTAGACATAAAGGCATCAGGACAGCTCACTTAAAGGTTATGATTTTACTGAAAACTATAGTGCAAAGAACTTTGGGGATGTAATGTGGCCAAATGAGCAAAATCAGACTTTACCAAACTTATACAGTAGTTAATCATCTTTGCTGAAATGCCCTTGAAGACCAGTGAACCGAGTCCAAAAGGAGGCAAACAATTGTAGTCGAGAAACTGTAAATAATTAAATATTTGTGCAATTAATATTTCCTTTGGTCCGTAAAAGCATCCCTTTTGCAATTGTTCACACTCGTATTGGATAAAGCCATAGCCCCAGCCTAGCAAAGCAAGAGCTTCGTAGTGGCGCTCCCTCTACCTTAACAGTTAACTCTAATCTTATAAGGGAGGCTCGATGCAAAGCAGTTGTAAATTTTTAATCGAAATTAAACATCGAATTTCCTCTAAGTGACCTATACAATGCCCATAGCTGAAACATCAGCTATAAATGGCCTAGACTAATGGATCTTAAATTTTTCCAATGGTGTTCTTCGATGCCTCCAATTCCAGGCTTGGTGTCATGCGTGAACAGTGTTCATTGTGATTTTTTCAAATTTCTCTTTGTTGTTGATCAGGTTTAGTGCAGAAGGTTAGGGACTAGATTTGCATTGCATCGAATTTGTGCTTTGTTTTGGTGTTCTGGTTGCTCGCAGTCTGAAGTTCTGAACTAGTGTCCGATTTGCTTTGATGTGATTAATTTGCACATTTGACGCTAAAGAATGAAGCTACTACATTAAAGTTGGATGATGTTCTGAACTGTATTAACTCTGTCCATCGTGTAATGCTTTAAGATAATAAGTTGTCACTGTCTGAAGAGTAGTTGTGAGGCCTCTTGTTTGTTGTAAGCCTTGGCTTTTGTTCTTTTTCATTGTAAGACAATGAAAAAGAGAGAAATGTGAATGAGGCTAAAGCTACAATTGGAAACAAACAGTGTTAAAGCTCGAAAGCAAAAAGCACCAGATGACAAAAGAACTCTCTCTCTCTCTCTCTCTCTCTCTCTCTCTCTCTCTCTCTCTCTCTGGGCTTCAAACTGGTTCATCATCTCCTGAGGGACGCTGGACAGTGACAGGTGGGATGACCATGCTTGAATGGGAAGAGTGGTTAAAGAGAATGAAGAAAGGCTGAAGTGAGATAAGGGATAGAATATACATCAGGAACAACAGTAAAAAGCGCTCTGCTTTCATTATTTTAATATAATTTGCTTTCCACCAGCTTCTCGCTGAATCCAGTTCTGCTCCTGATGAACTCAGCTAGAGTCCTGTTGCTTCTAGCTCCTTTATAGCTACGCATTGCTTGACACTCGGTTGCCCAAAGCAGGATGTCCGTTCCTATCTGATCTTATATAATTTTCAAGGTATTATCGACTCTTTGCAATCAATGGTCACCTTTTCTGTTATCATGTTCTCCAGTTTGCATATCTATTGTTGTTGCCTTACTGTGATACTCATGCTGTCTAAAAGATTTCCTTCCAGGATCAGGGGAGAGAGTGAGGATAAAATGGGCAATATGAAAATTCTTGCAGAAGCCAAGAAGTTATGGATGAAACTCAATCTCCGGGGGGCGATCCTTACGAGCTTTTCTCTGCAAGTCTTTCTCATATTTTTTGCACCCATTCGAAAGAGGTGTTCAAAAAGGTGGATCGTGACGCTCACCTGGTCAGCTTATTTGGTTGCTGACTTGGTCGCTGACTATGCCCTTGGACTCATTTCCAAAGCCCAAATCAGTGGTTGTGCTTCAGACTACGACACTGATGCAAATGGTGACCTTTCGGCATTTTGGGCTCCATTTCTTCTGCTGCACCTTGGAGGACCAGACACAATCACCGCTTTCGCGCTCGAGGATAATGAGCTGTGGCGTAGGCACTTGCTTAATCTCTTATTCCAGCTTGGCGCTGCAGGATATGTATTTTATCAAACGCTCCCCAGTAACAAGTTGATTGTCCCAACCATCCTCATGTTTATTGGTGGAACCACAAAATACATAGAGAGAATACGTGCACTGTATATTGCAAGCTTCAGTAAACTCCGTGACTTCTTGCTCACGTCTTTGGATGCTAGGCTGAATATCCGTGCCTCGATAGAGATGATGCCGGGGCCCGATATTGAATCCCCAGATGTCGGAGAAGAAGATAAAACCAAATTGAACGACAGAGAAGTGATAAAAGCCGCATGTTTTTACTCCATAAACTTCATAGGCCTCCTTGTGGATCTCCCCTTCAGCTTCCATGAACGTAACCAAAGCAGGGAATTTTTCAGGTGGAGAAGTGCAAAGGATGCTTTTCGGGTCATTGAGGCTGAGCTCAACTACTTTTATGATGTTCTTTATACCAAAGCTCTCGTGGTGCATTATCCAATAGGATTCCTTTCACGAGCTATCTCAATTGGCTCTGTGGTTACTGCTTTTGCACTTTTCTACGTCCTGCACAAGCATGGTTTTCACGAATATGATATACGGATTACATACACCTTGCTCCTCGGAGCTGTTGGCCTGGAATTTGTAGCTCTTATTATGCTGATCTGCTCTGACTGGACAATTGCACTTTTAGGGATATGTGAGGAACATCGTAAATGTTTGTCTATAGGAAGCACCTTCAGTGAGTTCCTCCTCAAATTCAAATCTGAAGGTTCGTCGTTTGCATTGCATATTCTCCACGCTAGATGGTCTAAAGTTATCTTCCAGTACAATTTGATAGATTCTCAGCTGAGAAGGTGGCCAAAATGGATTGAGCAACTACTCCGTCTCATCTGTCTGGATGAATTTCTTAAGGACTTGAGGTCTGGGCGAGTAGAACCATACAGTGACAAATTAGGTGAACTGATTTTTAATGAGCTGAAACGGAAGTCATCCAATGCAAATGATTTGGAAAGCATAAGGGAGATGTGTGCTGCTCGAGGTCAATGGGCTCTGGAGCATTCTAAAACACGGCAAATATGTGAAGACTTGATTCCATTCATCCGCGATGTCGATTATGATGAGAGCCTTTTACTGTGGCACGTTGCCACTGAGCTCTGTTACAATACTGACACTGATGAAAGTACCGACCCCGACACTGATGGAACTAGGAATGATCGTGTAAACAGTAAGGTCTTGTCGGATTATATGCTTCATCTTATGATCAAACAACCTGGTATGATGTCTGCAGTGGCTGGGTTTGGCAAAATAAGGTTCCGATGCACTTGTGCTGAGACGTACAAGTTATTCAGTGATAATAGTGAAGATATCTTTGATAAGAGCGAAGCGAACACGAGGACGGAAAATGCCTGCAAAATTCTTCTCTCTGTTAATCCAGAAGCGAAGCCAGCTGATGTGAAAGGAGACGGAATCGAATCTGCGCTTTTCAACGCGTGCATTCTCGCAAAAGAGCTGAGGAAATATGGGGAGACCAAATGGGTGATCGTGAGTGAAGTATGGGTGGAATTGCTGGCGTATGCCGCCATCCATTGCCGGCCGGACATGCATGCTCAACAGCTTAGTGAAGGAGGAGAACTTGTCACCGTGGTTTGGTTATTGATGGTACATCTTGGCTTGAGTGAACAGTTCCAAAGAGTCGAGGACCCTAGAGCAAAACTGATCGTTCAAAGATAATTGGTGCAAGTTGATGAATCGGCAGAAGATGAGGCTCCTACGTGCAAATTCCATTGCAAATCTCACTTTGTTTACACCTTTTGTTTCGTCTCTTCTTGTGTCGAGTGTTGCTCCTTTGCTCGGACTGCACATTGTTAAAAGTGTCTTTCCTTGAAATCTTCTCTTGCTGTTCGATTTCTATAATATCCAGCGATTCTGTGCATTTCTTTGAACCAAATGAGGGAAGCTCGGACAGATGACGTCCGATTGCTTTGGTTTAAAATTCGTGTTGCAAGTTTAACGTTGTACTGTTGATAAAACTTAACATTTAGTCAAAAATTAGAGAATATCGGTCACCTCCTCCAATACATATTCTTTATATAAATGATCATATCAATGTATATGCTGAAACGTCCGTGGTTGTATATCAGTGTTATGGTTAAAAATGGGGAAAACGTAAACCACAGCTAAGCTAAACCAATTGTTTTATTCTTTTTATTCCCCAGCCAAAACCAAACTGATGAACCTTGGTTTGATTTCGTCCAGACTATGTTTTTCTTGAACACCCCAAGGAAACATGTTTCTTCTCGAATAATTAAGCCAAATTTACTGTAAGAGCATGGTGTGGCGAAAAACACGCGATCGAACAATAAAGTAAACAAGAAAAATGAAATAAATCGGACATTCGATTTACGTTGTTCAGTCAATGTGACTTACTCCAAAGAAAGAGCAATATAGCATTCCTCCATAAATCAAGCGATATGATGGAAATTATAACCACGCTTGAGTCAATTCAAACACTTTCAGTATTTCTTAATCCCTAATTTTACCCAATAATTCGCACAGTGTTTAACCGTTACAATTACTCGCAAAATAATCACTCTTCATCGCACAAAGTAGTACACAAAATCTTACCCCTTCAACGCCCTTGAATTCCTTTAGGGTGCAGTCCACGAGTAAGCTGTACCTTTGGTGCCCAACTATTGGGCACACAAGACACACCGCTATGTACCAGTGGCATGAAGACCAAAACCCAAGATTGAATATAAATATATATACAACTAAATTAGGAAACCTTGTGTTCAACCTCTAAATCGAACGAGGAAAGTGATTTTTTTTTTTTTTTGCTAGGAAAATTAGTCCTCGACTCTTTTAGAATGTCACATCCGAGAATTGAACATTTGGCCGCATTTTTTGCAATGTTAGACCAGGTTTTATTCATGGGCTCAAATTTAAGACATATTCTGATAATATTCATCTTGGTTTAATGTTTGAGTCAAGTCACAATCGCTTTGCTGGAGCCTAAAAATTGCTACTCTCCCACGGCTCCTCATGGGCTCTATTGCCATAGAGATCTTCCAAGTCCAAGCTGCACTTGAATTTTGCCATAACCGTGCACCTTATCAAGATACCGACTCTACCTACAACATTAACCGCTAAACAAGAAATCGTGCACACAACCACCATTGTATCAATAACCGTCAAAAGATCAAACTCAGACCTTATCAAACTCTGCAACTACAGTCTCCATTGGCGCTACAGGTGGAGCCATGCTATAAGTATTGTTTGTGTCAATTACCATGCAAGTACCCCCTACCCTAGGATTTCTAGTTGCAACTCTATCTTGAGTTGAAAAACCGTCTAAATTTGTGTAAACACCGCCACAACCACTCGTACCCAAAAATATTGGAGACTCATCTATTGTAACTTTTTTACTCACAACAGGTGAATTTAATTATGAGCACCACAATCGATAGCCCTGCTCAACTTGTACACAGTTTAGAAATATACACTTTCTAACTTTCTTATCAAGCTTATCATAACTCACTCGAACACACAGGCAAGAATAGAATAATTAACAACTTTCTTTAGGAGTTCAATACCCAATCGCAATCAATAGGAATCTAGCTCGCTGTACTAATTGCATCTGCAAGGAATTTTCTACAATACCAGCATTAAAGAGGATTTTATGGAGCATCTTCTCCATGCATATTTATTTAATAGCGCCGAGCAAAACTCTATACTACTGTAAGTCTCCATGTACTTGATTACCGTATTGGTCTCCTTTTTTTTTTCTTTTTTCTTTTTATCAAAGCTCTTAACTTTGACATTGACAACTATATCAAACTCGTACCTCAACGCAAACATTCAAGACCTTCTCAACTAGCCTTGTTGTCTAATTGCATTAGATTAAGCTCCATCATTTTATTAGATCAGAAATATACTATAACATGATGAAATTTTTTAAATCACTATTAACTTCTTTAGGATGATCTTTTTTGTCTCTCTAATTAACCAAAAGAGAAGATGGTTCTTGGAAATTCAGTTGCCCTCACAAAGCGTCTACTGAATATCTGAACAGCTAAACATGATTGTAGCTCCTACGTTCACCCCTTTTTGGCAACTGTGGGGAGAAGATGAGACTATTTGTCTTAAGAACCTCACGAGTCATGATTACTCGAAAAACAACAAAAACAATGTGAAAAAATTGCATATACCAGGTGACACAGACAGAATAACCATGACCACTCCTTTGATTATACAGTACCTGATCACAAATGGGACATGGGATGACGGTGCAGACAGACCACCTCCCAAATTAGTAGCAAATTTCTCTCCTTTTCCTAACGACTTTGGAATTAAAAGATATCTGAGAGAGCTGTTGCACAAACAAAGAATGACTACGCATATAACACCTCTTGTTCTCTTTCCTTGTATGGAGGAGGCAGCACATCTCGTATATTAGCAAAAGGGTTTTCTGAACCGGACGGAACCTCCGCAATAGGTGCATCCAACACAAAGTCGGGAATTGCATCAAGTGTCTCCTCAAAGAAGGACTTCATCGTCTACACGGTCCAAAGACCGCATTAAAGTTAATCGAATGGTCAGGCTGAAATATACAAAAATTTAATATAATCGAAACGAATAGCCTAATGTACAAACTTACAGTGCAATGCAGGAAAGCTGCGTCAGCTTTCCGCTTCCACAAACCATTTCCAGGCTCCGAATGGAAAAGACCAAGCAAAGGCTGCAACATGTTAAAAATAAAATTATTGAAAAGAGCTTCATATGTGGCCAAACAAGAAACAGATGATTCATCACACCCGGCAACATTCCAACAGCAGAGAAGCAGGAAATCTGCTTCCAAATGCTAATGATGGCTTTACAGCAACAAATACTATATGTGGGATTTTAAAGATATTCATTGCGGATCCTCTCGGTGCTGGACTACTCTCCACCAAGGTCACGCTCAGATAAGTGACCTTTACAATGCCCATAGCTGAAATATTAGCTATAAATGGCCTAGACTAATGGATCTTAAATTTTTCCAACAGTCGCATAGTAAAGCAAAGGCTACTAAAATCCACCCTGGAACACAACAAAAGAAGAGATTATCTAGTTAAACCATTTCCGCCATCCATACCTTTGCCACATCACGCACAGTTGGTTTCTTTCCATACATTCCAAGAACAGAATCTCCATAAACTTCATACTCTTTGAGGATCTGAGAATTGGATAATTGTGAGGAGGGGAATACTCGAAGCAAACAGGAGGCAGTGACTAAGCAGATAATAATTATCCAGCCACATGTACAACTATACCTGACGGCGCGTGATACCACTGCTTGGAACACCATAAACGGCGCTATCTACATACGCCAAAGTCTGCCATGAGCTGTTAAATTTATAATCATTTTCAAATCACTGATCAAATTTTGCGAGCAATTAAGCAAGCACCGCTCAACTTAGCTAAAGATCTATTAAAGTATGATATATATCGTCGCATTTTATATCATAAAACAAAATAATTCAATACCATAAATATTCCCTTGGATTATTCATCCTGTTGCAGTATGGCCCTCAAATTTCAAAGATAAATGGCGAAACTAACTGAAGCAATTAATGCAGAACTGGGAGCACCAATACATAAGAATTTGATAAAGCCCTAGCTGCTAACTATGTGAAGACATGGATGGACCTATGAAACTTATTTTTTGTTGTGTCATACGTACTTATTAAAGGCAGCACGTCCAACCATTACACCATGAGCTCCTTCCACCAAAGCCGCATTCACCTGTATACACATATATCCATGAAAAATTAGTGAGTCACGAATGTCATTTCATATGATGGTGCTAAAAAGTTTACCAATCAGATGATTACACAAGCTCAAAACAAAATAACAGTTTCCCCAGCCTAAGTATCACCAAATCAAGATCTCAATCTATCCATGAGCTACTCAAGGTCAGCTTAATTAGTTCGATTTCGATCAAGTTTGAACTGCTAGATAATTTAGTTGAGTCAGCTTGAGTTCAATTTTTGAACTCAAGTAGTTCCTGAGCCTAATCTCGTAATTAAAATTTTATTTTTTTTCGTTGCAAGACATACAAACATAACAAATTATCAATTATATTGTAGTTATAAAACTTGAGTTTGAGCTCAAGCTCGTGTTTGCGCTTAACTGAGCGGAGACTTATATTTCATAAGGTAATTGATCAAGTCTCTATTATTCAATACGAGTTGAATTAAATTAATAGTCTGTGTCAACTCAACTCAGCTCCACTATGCCTTTGATACAGACATGAATAAAAACACAATTGCAAATCAAATTTTCCATTGAGAATGTGACGTACATAAACCAATTTCCACATTCATAATAGATTCCTTAAAAGCTGCATTATATACTTAAGCTCCACTTCTCACTTTGACATGCTTGCGGTCAAGCAGATTATATCCTGTATAAACAAGACAATTAAATTGCTTTGCCTCTTCTTATTGATCAAGGACATGGATCAACATGATATAGTGCGCCAACTATTCATGTCTGCTTCCAGGTTCAATAATTCAATCTAAAATTAACTTGACTAAAGTATGATTTTACCTCATTGATGGAGTTTATGCCTCCATTTATTGTAAACTTTAAGTCTGGAAAGTCTCGCAATAGACCAAAAAAGTATTCATATCTGCATATGAGAAACTGAAATGTTAAGCTGAACATACTGTACTGTTTCCCAAGCACAATAATTAAACCATTTGAGAAAATGCTCGGAACAAAAATATCAAACAACATTAAAAGAAAGAAACAAAAAACCAAAGATAGTTTTCCCTAACATATTTCCAGGTACGTACTTGAGTGGAGGAACCCGACGATTGTCAGCAGGGCTGATGCCATTGAGTAGTGCCTTACGAGAATGTATAATGAAATGTCTCGTTGGTGAGAGAGAAGAAACCTTATAAATAAAATCACCTGTACAATAGTCAAGCACCATAAAGTTAGACATAAAGGCATCTGGACAGCTCACTTAAAGGTTATAATTTTACTGAAAACTATAGTGCAAAGAACTTTGGGGATGTAATGTGGCCAAATGAGCAAAATCAGACTTTACCAAACTTATACAGTAGTTAATCATCTTTGCTGAAACGCCCTTGAAAACCAGTGAACCGAGTCCAAAAGGAGGCAAACAATTGTAGTCGAGAAACTGTAAATAATTAATTATATGTGCAATTAATATTTCTTTTGGTCCGAAAAAGCACCCCTTTTAGCTTGACATTATATAGTCCCCAACCAAGGCATTGCAAATTGTTCACACTCATATTGGATAAAGGCATAGCCCCAGCCTAGCAAAGCAAGTGCTTCATAGTGGAGCTCCCTCTACCTTAACTCTAATCTTATAAAGAAGGCTCGATGCAAAGCAGTCGTAATCCAAATTAAACATCGAATTTCCTCTAATAACTATCAATAGCTGGATGAGAATCCCACTATAAACTAAATGTTCAATATGTTCTCTCTTCAATTCTTGAACATTAAGATAAAGAAGAGACAATATTCTAGAAAGTAAGTCTTGCATTTGACTTGCTAAGCTAGAAGAAAATTGGACCTTACAGAGCTCATTGTATGAATCATGGTCATCAACACCAATTCGGCATTTCACACTGACTGGAGAATTTGTTTTGGCAGCAATCACTGACATGGCCTCACCAACAAACTTCCTCGCAGAGACCAACAACTCTATCAGAACACGCCGAAAATGATTCCAAAAAAGATAATACCAGTCCAGAACACTAATTAGCATGATAAACTCGAACCTTCGGATCAAGCATGAGACGAACACCAAAGCACCCATGTCCAGCTACCCTTGGACTAGGACACCCACAACTAGTGAATAAAGAAAGTAAGCATCAAAAGACTAATAGTAAATCATAAAAATGGGATCATCAGCTAAGAAAAGGAACATTCACTGACTTAAAATTGATCTCATCATAGGAATAGGCATTAGCAAGTTCAGTTGCTTTGGCCAGGTTTTCCAAATTGCTGCCTCCGATTTGTAACACTATTGGATGCTGTTCCGGAGAAAAAGCCAAGAACCTATCCTGACCATTATTAACAGTAGTGGATACTTAGTTTGACACGTCAGAGGAAATTCACCTGCATGATTTACATAAAAGACCACCAGGTACACTGCTTGTTTGTGCAGTCCACGAATATGAAGAATCTTGCCAACTTACCAAGTTATGTTCTTGATAAACAATTGTTTCAGCCGCAAGCATCTCAGTGTAAAGCCACGCATGTTTTGAGATGAGACGGGCTAGGGTCCTATAGTGATGGTCTGTCCACTCCATCATTGGAGCAACACTGCGAATAGGGAACCTCATGGATCACTACACCGGACTATGGTTCAAAATAATAGAAAGGAACAAATAGCTAAGCTACCTAAACAAAGGAGGAAGATAGTGCCCGGCAACCATTAGAGTTTTCGAATACGGTCGATGTTTCAGAGCGTCAGCTGATATGTTCCTTGAATTGGCCGGATTCAAACCAAATCGAAATCTGCGAGGGTTTTTAAGGATAATAGAATGAGTAGGAGTAAATGATGTTAGCAAAGTATATCCCGCAAACTTCATCATCTCTGTGATCAGATCAAGGCCTGCTCCTTAAGGTACCTATTCAAGAAAAGAGAAGTACTTACACAGGGATGTGTGGATAGAGTAAGCTCACTTAAATTCACACATGCCCACTTTCTGCCCTATACAAGCATTTTCCTAAACCCTACATGGACTGTTTCAGTTTTGACCTTCGTCAACTCCAATATTGAGTCCCATCATGCTACAAGATGCACCCTCACCGTTTTTTTTTTTTTTCTCCTTTTGACAACTATAAAGGCCAACCTTCGGTAGAGCAGACACATTTGAGGCTGAGCAGCTTTCAACTCTCTAATGTTTCCAATTACAGAAAAAGCATTTCCAAGAATCTGCTCACCGATCAATATTGCCTCCACAACCCGACAGAGAGCTAGAGAGAACTTTCCGCGAACATAACAAATCCAAATAGCAGCTTGACATGGAAAACAAAGAGACAATATCAAGGAGAACACCCAACGAAAACCCAGAAATTCGCCCAGAAGCTCAATGAACCAAAACTTGGTCCCGTGGAGCACCAAAACACAGCGGCATTTAATCAAACAGCTAGAGAACATTTGCATCCCCCAACACCCGAGCACCCCTCGCACAACACAGGCATTCGCGCATGAGTAGAGATGAACGAGACAGAGCATTACATGGTCAATGGTATCCTCTCCGGCAACTCTGGAGGAGCTCCTCCACAGCTTCAGCTCCGAATCGATGGTTGCCCCGACTCCCAAAAAGCTTCGGCCATTACGCTATCTTCCATTCACATAAAAGCACAGCATCTCTTCTCCCTGGCTCATCTGCGGCCCACGCGAGATGCGATACTCTTGGGCCGGGCCATGACGGGCCCTTTCCCATCATCCTGACGAAGCCCGTCCATTCACTACAGTCGATTTGAGCTGCTCTGGTCGTACGTGTGGTGGAGAGATAACTTACCCAAGAAAACCGCCATTCCTTCTTCTTATCATCACTCGCGTTGCAGGGAACTCTCCATGGCTGGTCTCAGCTTCAATCCCACCAGAGTCAGAACCCCTCCTCTGCAACCTCACCAACCGACATCCAACTTCGCCTCTTTCCCCAAGTTCACCGACATCCCTCGTCGTACTCCTCGAGGCCTCGCCGAAATCCAGCGGCTCGTGCACCGGTTCCGGCTGAACTCGGCGTCCGAAAGCTCCGTTTCCACAGAGAAGGAGCTCGAACTCTACAACGAGGACGAAGAAGGTCCAGAAGATGATGACCCAACAGCAGAACTGAGCTACCTTGACCCGGAAACCGATCCGGAGAGCATATCGGAGTGGGAGCTTGATTTTTGCTCCAGGCCCATTCTTGATATCAGGGGCAAGAAGTTGTGGGAGATTGTGGTGTGTGACAATTCGCTTTCTCTTCAACACACCAAGTATTTTCCTAACAATGTGATCAATAGCATCACTTTGAAGGATGCTATCGTGTCCATTAGCGATGAACTTGGCGTTCCTCTCCCAGAGAAGATTCGCTACTTCAGGTAATTTTATAGCATCATGAACAAAAATCACATGAACATCAGTGGATGCAACCACTCCCGTGCCTATAAAATTACTTGGCTGTGTTAATTCTTTTGTTCTGAGTGAGAACTTTTACTAAAAGCTTTGGTGCGTGGTCTAATAGGTCTCAGATGCAGACAATTATCACAAAGGCATGTAAGGAGCTCAGCATAAAGCCTGTTCCGAGTAAGCGGGTATGTGCAATTCGCTAGTTGTTATGGTTCCATTTGTATCTTCATGTCATGTTGTTCACTTTTGAATCCCTTTAGGTGGGAACTTTCACTGGTAGGATAAGCAAAAAGGATTCAATCTTGTCTCCGTCGAAAACGAAATGAAGTTGGATGAGCATATTAAAGTTCCCAAATGGTAGGACAGATACTGGGGTTCTGACATCTTCTTGACTTGAACTGAATATGCATGAAGGACAAGAGGAGTAACTGGGGCTTCGGATTGAATAGAAAGAATAGCACATCTATTTGATAGGAGCTTCCTCATCAGCCACGCTAACGTTCTCTTCACCCCAACCTGCTGTGTTTCTTCTATCTTCATATGCCTCGCTTTTAGATAAGCGAAAAATACTTCAGGATGTGATGGACATGGATGTGTTAACATGTTGCTGCTGCTTCCCTTTTGCTTAATGTGTAATGGATAATGTAGTTTCAGTTTCTTCCTTTGGGTATTGATTCTCTGGTTTCCTTGGTATCACATTAGGAAGAATATTTTCTACACGTTAACTTTGCATGCTCAATATGTACTGACTTTCATTCAGTAATGTTTCTATTTCAGTGTATATCACTACTTCTCTGGCTAGAAGAGCGGTATGAGACGGTGTATACACGTCACCCGGGTTTTCAAAAAGGATCCAAGCCCCTTCTGGCTCTTGATAACCCTTTCCCAATGGAACTTCCTGAAAATCTGTTCGGGGAGAAGTGGGCATTTGTCCAATTACCGTACACAGGTACGAACCCTTCAGTCATCAGTGTCCTCATGAATGCATTTAAAGGCATTACAATGATCCCTATAGACGCTTGTTAAGATTAGAAACGAGGGTGTGTGGTTAGTCTTTATATCATCACATCCATTGTTTCTGTGTACGAGCATACACATTTTTTAACTCCTTCAGGTGATGTATTGTTCTCTTTCTTTGTAGCTGTTCGTGAGGAAATCTCAGGCTTGGACACAAGATATGTGTTTGGTTCGGGTCTGGATTTGGATTTACTGGGCATTGAGATAGATGACAATACGTTGATACCAGGGTTGGCTGTTGCATCTTCACGTGCAAAACCGCTAGCAGGTGCATTCTTTTTCTGTATATCTATTGCATGGCATTAGCATGCTACTGATTCTATTACATCCTACCAGAATCTTCAAGTGATAATGAAGTATCTTGAGCTTCCATACTCACTTGAGATACAGCACAGCGGTGTGTGATTATGATTAAAGTTACGCCATCTGAGGTCCAATTTGGCATTAAGGAAAGGTTTATGAAGCTTGACTAACAGCAACTCCTCAAGTCCATGCATCATTAGATGAGGCTCACATCCTAGGACTTATAGCCAGCGGCAAAGAGTGACTGCACCTAATATTCTGACATTTATTCCCAGTGGCTTTGATGTCCACTAGTTAGCTGAACTGGAAATGAATCCAGATGATGCATTTATTGGAAAACAGGAGTACAATATTAGTATGCGACTGTCCTTGTGAGAGTGACGGAATTAAAAGCCACAGTTTGGTCTTCTCAGTACTCTATCTATTAATACTACGTTTTGTTTAAGGATTCATGGAATCATGAGTACATAACTATTTTCTAGCTATGCTTGATTGCATAGTCGCAGACTCGCAGTTGAGTTGATCTCTTCTTAACACTTGGCTGTATCTTAAGAGCTATCTCTACTCTAACCAATCACACTGATCATGTAACTGTAATTACACTTCGCCTCGTAAAATTTTATGATGGTATATTCGCTACAGCTCCCAAAGTTTAATTATATTATAATCTTTGTTCCACTGCTGCAGCTTGGATGAATGGACTGGAAGTCTGTTCAATTGAAGCTGATACTGGTCGAGCCAGCTTGATTCTTTCGGTTGGAATTTCAACACGTTATGTTTACGCAACCTACAAGAAAACTCCCATGACGACAACTGAAGCCGAAGCTTGGGAATCAGCAAAAAAGTCCTGTGGGGGCTTACATTTCCTCGCCATCCAAGAGGACCTGGATTCAGATGATTGTGTTGGATTCTGGCTGCTGCTAGACTTGCCACCACCTCCTGTATAACCTTCAGCATCAACAATATCTATGTACAATACATTGAATCTACTTTTTCCATTGAAGATATATCTGTGTTAATCTTCAGATATAGAAGAAATTGTTAGTCCACCTCTTTTGCTTAAATTCACCAATAGTCAATTTGGCAACTAGGTTAGCTATGCTAACTAGTATCTGTCAAATTACATATCAGATCCACATTCATGCAAAGAAATAGTAATACACCTAGGAAGGACAGAAGATGGCATCATTGAGGAGCCTATTATTATATTCGTTGCACTGATTAAAGGGTTTGTGCTTTTCACGGAAAAAAGGGTGATGATGTGAGAGGCAATTGGAACTAATTTGGCAGCAGAGAATTATTCGAGAAATTTTATGATTCTGCTACACAGTTTAAACCGCGTGGTCATTTAGGAACACCATCCCAACTGTTCCTTAATGATTACCCAGTAAGCAAATTTTTACCTAATATGCTTACTAGGTGATCAGCAATCAACTGGAACTTGCACCCTGTTAGTCCGTGATTGGCGAAATTCTATGTTCAATTCCATGGTAAATTATAGTAATCACAATCAAAATTCTGATTCTTGTGACTTTTTGTCAAGATTACAGGCCCGCTCCTGTCATGGAGAGGAGAAGATTCAATTTCAAACGTAATTGTTTGTGACTAAACTCTCCAGCATACATTGCAAGAGAACAGTTATAAGAGTTGCACACCGACAGTTTTCGTTAAGAAGGCATGTCAAAAAGTGAGCCCACTTTTATACAACAGAAATCTGAATGAGTTGCAACATATACCATGAAGATGCTTCCCTACATTATTACTAACAAGATTAGATTCTGGGAATGACGTACACAGTATCTAGCTCTTACAACAATAAAGATGCTTAACATCCTTATTACTAATTACCAAGGCTGCTTTGGCATGGACACCCAAGCACAGTAAGCACGAACAATCTTCTGAGATATGTACACGTAAACAGCAAAAGATAAACTCATCAAAGCTATATCTTTCCAGTCACCCTTCCTCTGTGGGCTCAAATTGTGCTTCAATCCCTTCCCTATCTTCTCAAAACCATCTAGAATTCCTGCAACAGTTGGCTTCTTGATCTGCTTTTCTTTCTTTGGCTTCTGTGCTATTGAATCGTCGTGTTCTTGGTCATGGCCCAGGCAAGAAACACTGATAATGTGCTTGGGACAGTCACCACGCTTGAGTTCTTGAATTGCAGTAGATCTGCCGCGGAAGTAGTGGTGATGGAAAGAGAAGGAAGCCATGGACAGAAGCGCAGAACTTCTAAAGGTCTGGACCTCGGAAGTCTGTCACTTGTAGTGGTTTGGCTAATTGGAACAAGAGTGGTCAGAGGACGTTCTAGGACACGGTGGGTTGGGTCTGTGCAGTGATCAAGATGCAGGACTTGACCCCCCCACTCCAAATGTTGATGAAGAAGATAACCTCCGCTCACATCCTTTCGAGAGAAGTTGGAGTGGAGCGGGGAACCATATGGGAATATCTGTCTTACGAATACGAACAAAAAGCAAGAGCTACCACAGATATTTCGAAGGCATAGCCGCAATGAGAACGGATAAGCCTAACATGATGAGGCGGATCGGGTCGGGACCAGCCCGGTTCCAAATTGAAACCCGATTCCAATTTTTCGTTTTTTAAGTTTTTCTTATCTGATTTATAAACCCTGCTTCCTTATTCACGCGTCTTCACTTGTAAGAAGGGTTCCAAGCTCCAAAGACCGTTTTTAACCGCTCAAGCTCAACCTCAATCTTGTAAACAAAGATCAGGTTGAAACTTGAAATTATTCCTACTTGATCATCTGAATTTCTAAGGGAATTCTTAATACATGTGATACGGACCGAACTCCTCTAATGTTTTTATTCATGTTATCGATCAATACCCATCAACAATATTCAATAATCTCATGTTGATGAGGAACTACTAATCATACTTATCACTCAATTTTCATATCCATCGTCACTGAAAAATTCTTATATTTCTCCATGCAGCTCTCAAAAACTGCCAAGTACTTAAAATTGAGCACTTGAATTTTTTTTAAAACCTATTTTTTCTTTTGTTCTACTGAAGGAGCCCCTTACTTAATGATTGAACATAGAAGAAAATATATAATATGGACTCTGGATTTGTCAACACCAACTGCATGCAATTCTAGCCATATATATATATGTATGTATATATAACAAATTGTTAAAGAAGCTGCAAAATTGGGAGGGGGGGGTTGACATATGTGATGATTCGGACGTGCTAAGTCCATCCACACCGCACAACACACTCTCTCTCTCTAGATCAGACGACCAATCATATTCGCTCCATCACCGCTCGGTGACGATAGTGCATTCCCCCCACCCACACACATCCCTCCCCCAGCAGTCCCACTTTTCAAATTTTTTTGATATATATATATTTTTGGGGAGACCACCAAAGTCAAAAAGCCTCGAGTGCGTTTCAATGCGGGCGAGGGTGGGGGCGATGCGCAGTGCGCACCTTGCGTATCCAAGTCGGCTTCCGCTTTCCGTCTCTGTCTCTGGAACGACGAAACAGTGGTTAAACTGCGTTGACTGATTTTCACTCCATCAATGACTTTTCTATGTTCTCTCTCCCTCTCTCTCTCTTTCCGCAATTTTGACCATCAATACCTAATCTCGATCAATTCACCTCCACGTGGGTCTCCTCCTTTGCCCTCATCTCCACCATCTCCTTCCTTCCTTTCCTCCTCCGGAGGATCCATCGTCGCTCCCTCCTCCGTCCTCCGCTCCTTCTGTCCTCGGCCGGTTCCACCTCCGTCCTCCGCCCTAACTACCTCGCCCGCCCGCCGTGCGAGATTCCCCCATGTTCCTTGCTTCCTTCGAGGTCCACCCCCATTTGGGCAATTAGGGTTTTCTCCCGAAATCCGCCCCCCACAAGGCTTGGTTTCCTTCGTAAAGCTCGAGTCTTTGGCTCTCCGCCTCCTCCTGCTGCTGCTGGTGCCGCCGCCGGAAGTGGAAATCGACATGATCCCGGGGCTGCGGATCGCGATTCTGGAGCCCGTCGCTGTTCTTCGGCAGCTTCTCCTTTGAGCTGTTCCTGCTTCTTCTTCTTCTTCTTCTTCTTCTTCCTTCTTTTTTTGTTTGGCTTGCGGGTTTGAAGTGGTTGGATCATGAAGAGATTGAGGTCGAGCGACGATCTCGATTACTACGGCGGCGGCGACAAGGGCGTCGGTAAAGACTCGGCTTCCAATCGCTCCTCCTCCTCCTCCCACCGTAGCGGCGGCTTCTACTCCGGCAAGCCCGGCGAAGCGGCTCCTCCTCGCAAGGTGTTACTGGCGTCTTACTCGTCTCGATACGACCGAGATCGGCCCCTGGACGACGACGGCGGCCGCGATGGCTTGAGGATCCCGCGCAAGCGCTCCGACCACGATTTGGAGCGCTACGATCGCAGGAAGGGGTTGGGCTTGGGGTTTGGGCCCGATAGGCACGCCGAGAGGAAGGGGCACGGTGTTGATTTCGCCGAAAGAGATGGGTACGGCGGAAATCGCGGATTTGCTCACCGATCAGATGGCTTCTGTGGCCCGAAGAAGGAGTTTCCCAAGGGATTCCGATCGGAGAGGGACAGATCGAGGCGCGAAGGGAGCACTTCGTCGTCCTCTTGGCAGAGATTTGGGAATGGGAGCAAGGATGTTGACGAGAGCAGAAGTATCAGACCTGGATTTATGGATGACAGGGACAGGAAGGCACTGAGGGATGCGAAATCTCCTACGTGGTCGAAAGATTCGGGGAGTGAGCAATCTCGAAGAGGTTTAAGAGATGGAAAAGTGAGGGAGAAAGAGAAGGATAAGTCGCCTAGCGTGTCGAAAGGTGATTCGGGTAGTGAACAGCAGTCTAAGATGAGGTCGCCGCCGAAAAATCTGGAGGCCAGAGAGGTCAAGGCGAAGGAGAAGGAGAAGTCCCCGAGCTGGTCGAGTGAGAGGTCGAGTGTGGAGACCAAGAAGCCTGAGGAGTTGCTAGCTGAGAGTGGGAGTAGTAGTGAAATGGAGGAAGGAGAGCTGGAACCGGAAGCGGCCGGTGAGGTTGGATTGGCTCCTGAAGTTGGGAATGGAGGAAGCCCCAAAAAGTCTGTCCAGTTGGAGTCTGATCATAGGGAAGTTGTAGAGAGTGAGGGTAGAGCTAAGGTTGCTGAAGTAGTCGGGAAGTCACTTTGTGAAGAAGAGAAGGAGTGCCCTGAAGAAAGTCCAGTTGAGGAGAAGAGGGAACACACAGACGAGGCCTTTCAAGATCATCGAAAGATTTCAAATGATGAGATGAGTGGGAGTAATGGTGAGGAAAGTGAAACTGAATCTGATAGTGCGATTGTTAAGGATCGGGAGATTCTGAAAGGGGAGGAAGAGAGTTGGGGAGGTCACTTGGAGTCTGCAGAGGAAGCTGTTCATTATAGGGTTCTTGGGAAGCACTTACAGGATGAAGAACCTCCTAAACAAGACAAAGGTTTTGATCTTGAACTCAAAGAAGAAGGTGCAGAATCACAGGAGTTCAAACTAGGAGAGCCGGAAGGGTCTGTGTTGCCTGAAGATAAAACTGGCCTGGCTGGAGAAAGGCTTGTACATAGCTTCAAGGACAAAGGCAAGAGCGTTGCTTTTGTGCCAATCGAAGTCGCTGAAGTTGCAGAAGAACGTTTATGGGTTGAAAGAGAATTTAGAGATGTCGTGAGTAGCAGGGACATGGACATGGAAGGGCCGAGCACTAGGGGTTTTGAGTTGTTCTCGAGCTCTCCTGTTAGAAAGGCAGAAAAATCAGATAATCCTGGCATTCCTAGGCAGAAAGATGACAAGCTCGGGATGGAGCAACTTGATCTCTCTCTGAGCTTGCCAAATGTGTTGTTACCTATTGGCGCTACAGGTGACAACACAGCTGCTGCTCCCGCCTCCCCTAGCCAATGCAGAAGTGTGCAGTCCTGGTCTACTTTTCGTACTAACTCTGAAGGCTTCACCCAATCAATGTCCTTTTCGGGATCTCAGTCCTTTTTTCACAATCCAAGTTGTTCTCTTACTCAGAATTCAGTAGATTATGAACAATCAGTGAAGAGTCGCCCTCTGTTTCAGGGAGTTGATTGGCAGGCACTAGCTCAGAACGAGGCAAAGCCTAAGGAAGCTCCGGTGTATCAAGGATCTCTCAGCAATGGAAACGGTTCTCTTTACCAGTCTCAGGCCGTGCAGGGAAATTCAAATGGTGAGCTCGTCCAAGGGCTGAATCTTAGGGTATCAGAGGGAAGCAGTAAAATGCTCAGTGGACTGGACAGGCAACTGAGTTTTAACAAACAGTTGATGGGAGGGCAGACAAAGCGACACGATGATGTCAAGTCCCCTTCACAGAGTGTTGGATCTCATGATCTGGGGACGAGTTATGGCTTCGACAAGAAGCGAGCGGCGAGGGAGAAACATGGTAGTAGCTTATACAGGAGTGGTAGCCAAAAGGAGCACGATCAACTGTTGATGGGTGGAAGTGGAACTGAATTTGTTGAGTCGCTAATTGAGAAGATAGTTTCGGAACCATTGTATGAAATTGCAAGGAAATTCCGCGAGATGAGAGAAGAATCTTTGACATGTTTCAAAGAGAGTATCCGGGAGTTAATGGTTAATAAAGATAAGCAACGGCAACTATGGGCTTTTCGAGAAGCGCTGCAGAACAGATCAGACATAACTATTGAGATGCTATTGAAATGCCATCGAGCTCAGCTGGAGATCTTGGTCGCCCTAAAAACTGGTTTGCCAGACTATCTTCAACTCCAATCTGGTCATCCATCGTCCGATTTGGCTGAGATTTTTCTGAACTTAAGATGCAGAAATCTTTCCTGTCGGAATGCTTTACCTGTTAATGAGTGCGACTGCAAGGTTTGTGTGAAGAAGAATGGCTTTTGCAGTGATTGTATGTGCCTAGTCTGCTCCAAGTTTGACATGGCATCCAACACATGTAGTTGGGTTGGTTGTGATGTTTGTCTTCATTGGTGTCATGTGGATTGTGCCATTAGGGAATCTTATATTAGGAATGGACATAGTGCAACCAGCACCCAAGGAATGACAGAGATGCAGTTTCACTGTGTTGCTTGCGATCATCCTTCTGAGATGTTTGGATTTGTTAAAGAGGTTTTTCAAAATTTTGCAAGGGGATGGAACGCTGAGAATTTTTACAGAGAGCTTGAATATGTCAAGAGGATTTTCCATGCGAGCAAGGACTTGAGAGGGAGACGATTATGTGAAGTTGCCGATCAGATGCTGATGAGATTGGCAAATAAAGCTAACCTTCCTGAAGTATACATTTACATCATGACTTTCCTGAATGGTAATGTTCTGTATCATGATTCTTTTTTTCTTTTTCTTTTATGTTTTTTGAGTGAAGCTTTATTTTGAAAGAGGAATGCAAATGTAAGGGATAAGGACACTGGTGAGTAAACTATGATGAAAAACATAGTTTTTTTCTGCATGTTCATTTAAAAATTATGGACGGCTATGATTTACTGTTTTCACTTGGATTACTTTCTGATGGATGATATACTGCCTCACTATATTTCTTCTCTATTTCAAATGCGTAGGTTGTATGGTGAATCAGATAGGTGGACTCGTACATTATTTAAATCCATCCCAGAATATTTCAGCTTATTTTGCTCCCCCCATCTTGCTAGGCTGGTTCTTGCTTTTGTTTCAATAGTCATAAAACTTCTACCTGAATCAGGAGTACTTGTTTATAGTGCAGGAATGGTTTTGCAAGAACTGCATGCAGGATATGGAAGATACAGTGGATAGAAATGCCATCAATATGATGTATATGTAGTTTGGAACTAGATTGGTTTAAGTTTGTGGGATGTTAATTAAATTAGTAGAAAGCTGACATTTCAGGATTTTGCATGATCGTGTTTTTGACCAAGTATTTTATTCTTCACTGTGGTGGCAGGATCTGATTCAGCCAAATATGATAAAACTCTGGATTCTGGCATTGAACGAGGGAAGGGAGTCAACAATGTGGCTGGATCTAGCCAGGATATGTCGTGGGTCACAGCTGCGGTAGCGGAAAAAGTTCCTTTTCAAGGCGAACGTGTATGCAGTACAATTCCAAGCCCCAATATGGGCCGGAGTGATAAGCATGCTTTGGAGTTGGAGCTGCAGAGGAGTGATAAGAAAGAACCATTGTTCGATGAGGTGGAAAGTATTGTCAGAATTAAACAAGCAGAAGCGAAGATGTTTCAAAATCGTGCTGATGATGCAAGAAGAGAAGCCGATGGATTGAAACGTATAGCAATGGCCAAGAATGAAAAGGTTGAAGAGGAGTACATGGCCCGAATTGCAAAACTGCGCTTGCCAGAGGCTGAGGAATTGCGCAGACAAAAATTTGAAGAGCTGCAGGCATTAGAAAGAGCCCATCGAGAATACTACAACATGAAGATCAGAATGGAAGCCGATATTAAGGATTTGCTATCGAAAATGGAAGCAACTCAAAGAAACCTTGCCCTGTGACATTGAATGTTTGACAGCACGTCTCTTGGAAGTGTCAATTTTTCAGTTAATTTTACCCGCTAATGGCAAAGACATATGCTCCCTGGGGTTTGGAGGCAAACCAGAATCTGTACAGGGACTGCAGCATCTCCTCACATGTAATTTAACCAGTTCCCTTAGTCTATGCAAATAGGACTAGGACATGTTCTAGCTTCTATCGACTTCTTTTTGTTAGCACGGGCTTACAATCAAATGTTTAGTTTAGGATTTCTTGAATGAAGGATTCTATATTCATGTGTTGGGCATGCAGTTTCCTGAACAAAGTTGGAATGAGATTTGTGAATTAGGAAATTTTGTCTCCTGGTTAACGCCCAATATGCGTTTGCTGATTGTTGCTACACTCGCTTGGAGGCCGCAGCAGATGAACTTTTGAGTATTCCGAATTGAACTCGATGGTTGTGTCGTGTGTATAGCTGTAATTTAGTACTCGATCCTTGCTCCATTGGAGTATGAACGACGTAATACTTTCATGTTATCGTCTCAATGATGAGCATTTACCTTGACATGATTTAGATTCAACAGATAGGAGCAAGTTCACCTGTGTTCGCTTATGGGTTTCTTATGGCCATTGAAAAGCCTTAGTGAAATAGGATAATCTTTCCACGCCTTTCCCCTGCTAGCCATCATAATCGAAATTGCGACTTGGATGGTTTTACGAGCGAAAAATATTACGAGTTGTGTTCAATTGGTGATGAAAACATTCTCAAGAGTAAAACAACGAGCAACGCCGGTTGAATCGTTAACATCACTAACATCACTAGAATTGCGAGTTGACTTGCCATGATTCGATCCCTCGGTTTTGTTTTGAACTTTCAAGAGCTTTAAGGCTCTTAGGTTCCGATCGAACAAAAGTCCCTTGGATCCACTAAGGGTGTGTTTGGTAATTTGTCAAATAGTGACTGATTCTATTATTTTATTCTCGGGAACAAAGAAAAAGAACAGAAATCCATTTGATAAATTTTTTATTCTTGGGGACAAATTTATTTCCAAAATCAGTTTTGGAACAGAATCAAAATTTTTAAAAAAGTTGATTCTTGATTCTAAAAACAAGAATCAGAAATAGAAGAGATTTTTTTTTTCTTTTTCTTCTTTCCTATTCTTCTTCTTTTCTAGCTGGTGGCCGGCAAGGGCGTCTCAGTCCTCGAGGCTCGCGGCCTGGGCGAGGGCCACCCTCATCGAATCTAGTGAGGGTGGCGGCGAGGGTCCAGCCCTTGCCAGATCCAGCGAGGGCGGCCCTCGCCTAGGCCGCGAGCCTCAATGGTGGCCCTCGCCGGCTCAAGCGAGGGCTGGAAAAGGCCGGCTTGGGCTGCCCTCACCGGCCATGGCAAAAAAGGAGAAGAAGAAAAGAAAAAAAAAGAAAAAAAAGAAAAGAAATATTAAAATATTTAAAAATATTATTAATAAAAAGAAATTTTATGCGGTTATCAAACACATTTATGTTCTTTTTCTGTTCCAGGAATGGAAATTTTGGGCCGTTATCAAACGCTTAGAAATTGTTTCCAGGAACAGAATAAAAAAAATAATTTATGAGCAAAAATTATTTTCTGGAACAGAATGATTACCAAACGCACCCTAATCGGTCCCTTGCCGTCCCTTGTCGTCCCAAACCCGCTGCCGCATGCAAGATTCCGTGGATGAGTCGTTCCATGTCCAAGTCTTTATGAGCAGGAAGCTCAAGCCACAAATGACAGTGATCATGCGCCGTCACCTGGGCATCGAAGAAAAATGGTCTGGCTAATGCTGATTTGCCAACTCCTGAACTGCCAACTATAGGCACGAAACAAGCTGATTCCTCTTAGTCGTCGTAATCTTCTCGTTGCAATACAATACATGGTAGGATCTGACCTCAGTCGTAAGCTCTCCCAGTATGTCATCACCTGCCCCTCCTAGCAGAAAAGGGTAAGCATTAGAAGCTTGCTACGAGATTGACGGCCCCGCTTCTGCTCCTGCTTCTACTTCTTCCTTGAAAAAGTCGAACTTCTCTATCTACTTATCAGCATCGCCATCCAACCCCATAACAGAGCGAATTTTCCCTTTCGTTTTTGTAACACAATGGGTTCTAGCTTCGGGAAGTGGAAGGACATCCTTAATTTACTCTATGAATACTAGACTGAAGCGCGTGGATGACGCTCTCAATTCATGTCAAAACGAAGACTGAGCCTGAGTTCCGAATGCATGTGGCTTGCAGAGGAAGGCGAGGCATACATTGGCGGGTAGCTGGATGAGACGAGCTTCATCCGCCTCATTGTGAAGGCGACATGATATCAAGTCTCTAGCAGCATACGTTGCGGTTAGATGCTCCAGGATAGCTTGTGGAGAACAGTAACACTCCAAGGGGAGTGGATATTGGACTTGGAGCAGCGTCAGGTCGCAGAGGACATGGAAGATTGGGTGTTCGAGATCTGCAATCTCGTTCTCAACTTCTACCATTGAGAAAACCGCCTGCATAAAAGGGGAGTGGTTCGAATGTAAACAGCCATGCAAGTCTTTTCGCAGACCCCATGATGTCTTCCGTGCCCTGCTTCATCTTCACCCCGGTCGAACTTGGAGATAAAGCTCTCTACTGCAAGCGGTCCTGGGGATCTAACAACTCTTCTTCCTGTCACGCAATCGCACTCTTTCTCCCGCAAGGATGTTTTTCAAGCGGTCGAGAAGGCGGGAAAGCCTCTTCGTGAGGTCCTTGATTCTCCTCCGTTGACCCATGGCACTAGCCTTGCTGCTTGAAAAACTAGCTACTGCTCCCACCCGTTGCTCCTCCACCATGTCTTCTGTCTCATAGGTTGCCCTTTCAAGCTCCCCTACATCTACCATGTTGGCAGGTGACATGGACGTGAGCAGTTGGAGTTCTGCAGCAGTATATCGGGCAGCAGGGAGCCTGAATTCAAAGCTCAGCGAGCTCATTCTGGATTCCGGATGCCACCTTTGCTATCACCAGGACACCCAATCCGCGGCTACTACTGCAAGATCATGATATGTGAAGCTTTGCCTCTGGCTCTCTGGGTGACACGTGATCAGAACCAAGGACTCCGAGTTCGTGAGGGATGAACACACTGAGACTGAGATCGAGACCAACACCTCCCTCATTTGCAGCTGCTACCTTTCTTTACTATTTGGTGATGATTTATTATAACAGTATATATCGCTTATTTCTTTTGGAACAATGGTCATGACAATCTATCTAATACTGTGTTAATGTGATCATAAATTTAACAAATAATAGATGATATTTGTTCTTGCTAATATTTTTTAGTTGTTAACAATGATTTCAGGGTAATTAGTGTCAAGTGAATCATTTCATAATTTAGTTATAGCTATATTGTTTACTATGATAAAGCTAGAGTGTTAAAATAAATGCAAGTATGTTACAAATCCTAAATTAAACTTATTGGACCCTCATCTATACTTACAAACTATCAAATAAAGAGATTGAAATCTGAAATCACTACTCCTATTCCTTTCTTTTACTCGGAAAACGACTCCATTTTGGAGAGGAATGGATGACAACTTTCAAAAATATTTATCCAACACTGAATGAGAATCGGAGGAAGATGATGAAGGACCCTTGATTGCTTCTGAAGAACCAAGAGTATCATCGATCTAAGAAAGGATAATTAGATTCCTCCATCATGCGGCAACAATAACATAAGGCACTTTCCTGCTAACATCTTGGCTTGCCTTTCATATTATACTTCGCTGGATTTACTCCGATTACACTCACAAAATCATTTACAACAACTCGAACCAAAAAGAGAGGGGGCGACCCTTTGAGAAGGTGCACTTTTGCCTGTGAATAAAGTCATAGAATCCCATGGTAGCATATAAAACATGTCACCACCATTTATAGAACAGACGAAAACAGGAGGTGTTAAGGCTAAAACATAAGTGGGAAAAAAGAATAGCGTTAAAATGACACAGCTGCTTGCTAAATAATGTACGTAATTTATGTCACACGCTTCAGAGTGATTCACAGACAAACTTGTGAAGAGTTTTCCATTGGACTTTCAAGAGCTGCATTTTCCTTGTTCCTTTTCACAGAGAAAGTACCTGAACTGACAGAAAAATGACATAAAAATAGCCAACAGTGTCTCTGACCTCCCACTTCAATTCTCTTCATCAGCCTGCTTTGTTGGCCTTTGAATCCGGTTTTTGTCCAGCTTCAATTCCCCCGGTTTTAACATCGCCTGAACAACACCCATCCCCATGATGATGGTGATGGTGATGATGGTGATGATGATGACCATGACCATGAGCATGCCCATGCCCATGACGATGGTGATGATGGTACTGCTTTCCCTTGAGCTGCTTCCTCATGTCATATGCATCCTCTCCATCTGCATAGTACTTCGCCTCCACGTCATGTATCTTGTACCCCAGCGTCTCAGTGTACAAATTGAATGCAGCGCGATTGCTTTTACGCACATGCAGAGAAACATACTCAGCCCCATAAACCTGTGGAGATCACTTAAAGGGATAAGCACGACACTTTTTGTACATGCTCTCACATGTTCAAGCATTTTATGGGTAATGATCAGGAGTGAATCCTATAAAGACTACTCACTTACTCGGATTTTTAAGAATGAAAATTTTTGCCACTTGTTAAGGCGACTTCCAACTAAAAGCTAACTGACAATGTTTCAGGGAACAATAACCAGAAATATTTCCACCTGTTAAGCTCAAGATAAGGGATTCACCAGCCCAATACATTGTTCGTCTAGTTACCACACACTCCGAACAAGCAGATAACTACCATCATTCACCGAAAGAAAAGATAACTACCAACATGGAGACAATTCTCTGCAGCATTTAAAAGAGAGACATGCACTCATATGAGCATAGATGATGTGAAATATCACCTAAAATAAAGTTGCTTATGATGTCTTCATTGCTATATTAGCACCACTAGCATTGGTATGTGAATTGCGTATGATATTAAAACTACACCGCAATGTGCATATTAAGATGCTTCACAAAAATATATCACAATAGATTCACATATACAAATATGCATGGACTTTTTCGGTTGTCATATGCTTCAGCAGAAGAAAAATTCATTAACAAATTCATGTACTTGATAGATGCTACCGTGTATATATACATCACATTCGCCACTCCTAACCCAAACAAATTAAACAATCTAATTCAAAAGCTTAATCAAACGAGAACACACGTTCTCCATCCGGATTCACACCTAACCATCAAAAGGGGACACGGAAGAAAGACTACTGCCCCAAAGTTATCCATAGTGAACTCTTAAGAATTTCCAACAATTCTCCTTGTCGACATAATTGAAGAAAAAAGGCTCAATTATCACAGAACGAACAATTCCATGCTATGCAAACAAATGTACCAAATAATCTCGCCAAATTAAGCTCTTCAATCGATTTTCCAGGCCTTAAATGATCTTCCATCAACACCATTCCCTGCTCTCCCAAACTTAACTCAATTCTGACTATAATCTACGGAAGACGAGTATGCTTCAATCAAAGAACCAAACAAGACCGACCCAAATAACAAATCCATCAAAAGCCCAAAACTTTACATCAAAAAACAGCATATCAAGCAAGATTAGAATATCGGCATGTACCCAAAAATAAAAGGGTTACGGAAAGAGAAAAAGGAAACCTGTTCCATGGCGTTCTGAGCAGCATTCATGAGCTTTGTAGCGAGTCCCAGCTTGCGATGAGTTCGGAGAACGGCGAGAGAGGTGATGTGGCCATGGCACTCGTTGGTCTCTTCCTCCATCTTCGCCAGAACGTACCCGACGATCCGGCCATTGTAGTCCTCCGCTACGTAGAGAAGCTGAGGCCAGGAGAGTATGTGGTACAAGTAGTACTTCATCTGGTAGTTCTCGGGCAAGCACATCAGGTTGCAAGCTTGCATGGCCAGCAGATCGTCCACCGTGGCCTTGCGAATGCACACCATGGTCGATCTGGTTCCGCCGGCTTCCAAAGCTTCGTGCGTTTTCTTGAGGGGAGATTGGGGTGCGTAGGGTTTTCTTCTCGCTCTCTTGGGAGAAGAAAAAGAGAGATGGAAAACAAAGAGAGAAAGAGAAAGATTTTTAGGCTTGGGCTTGCTTGGCCCATTATATCCTTTCTTAGCCCTGCAATATATATGGTTTAGTCTAATCTAGGAGTCATCATCATTCATCACTTTTATTTAAGCGAAAAAGCCACTGAAAACTTTAAATTATATCCGTGTTGTGATATATTTACTTTAAAATTTCTATTGTGACATAAAAAATTCCAAAATATACATGATCTGACATATTTATCCTAAACTTTTTATTTTGACACGTTTATCCTCTGTCAATGTTCCATCATATGATTTTTCGATTAAAATAACGTCGTTTTTATTTCACTTAAGCTGCGCGGACGCCATGTTAACATCGTTTGCTTTCGGGCAACCATATAGACATGTTTTTAATGGTATTAAATGACGAAATCTTGACGGAGAGTAAATATGTCATATAGGTACAAATTTGAATTTTTTGGTGTCACAGAAAAAAGGTTAATGATAAATGTGTCACAGTAAATATACTTTGTGATTTTTTGTGGTTTTTCCCTTTATTTTATTACAGAAATCTCCTCTTGACTGGCATAAACCTTTTTTCTTTTTTTTTGGAAGAAAAAATGTTGAACCAAGCAGTCCATTTGAACTGAACCAAAACCAAATCAAAGCTCTTTTTTAAGTTTTACTTCGTTTTTGTGTCTCTTGCCTTCGTTTATGTTTGCCCAATCATGATAGCACCATGTGAGTGCACTGGGAGGTATAGTGCAGGGTATTTACTTCTTGTCCTTTATTATATATTCGATTTGGGAAAATTTTCACTTCATAAAGGAAAAAGAGTGAACTTTTATAATGTCATGCTTTTTTTTATTATTTTGAATGAAAAATGGGTGTGAAAAGAGTACTGTGGAGGTCCTGTAAAAGAGAGTGAAGGACAAAATGTCGGTCCAACTTGCAATTACATATGACTTCTACCACATCTCCAGCCCTTGATATTGGTGAAGCTCATGCTAATTCCACTTACGATCTGAGGATTTAGATGCATAGTTAGAAGGCCTTACTTAACCTGGGAAAAGAATCTGAAGGTAACTAGTTCACAATTTCTAATAACCCCATGTCATGACATTGAATTGGAAGACATTCTCGTATGGCCTAAAAGTGGTAGATACCATGATACTTTCACTCTCATTTTCGTCTGTTTGTTACATTGAAGCTCCTACACCTGTTTCCTAGTTCCATTGTCTTGATCTTGAGCACTGAATTGATCCGAACATAGCAGTCCTATTATAAAAACACCGTTTCAGTACACTCTTAATCGATGCTAAGCTCCCTTGCGATGTTTCTGCTTGGTTTCACACTAGCGGGAATGCCCTTCAAGCTTGGAGATTTCTGCTGGTAACCATTTGGCTTGCCCCTTCTGTAGAAGCTAGGCACTTCACTTGCGATTGAAGATACAAGAGAGAGCTTATTCTTGTATGGGGAATAGCTATCGGAGTAAGCATCGAAAGCCCCGGGCCTCAGTTTGGGCGAGCTCAGTGATCTCGCTTTTGCCTTGGCCGACTCGGTTGTGGCCATGTAAGTCGGTATGGCAGGCGAACTTTGGAAGTTGTCATCTCCCATCGAGCACTGCTTTTTATGGCGAGGGTACCTTCTTGGAGCAGATTGAGGGGAGTCCAGTGGCTCGAACTGTTGTTTTCTCGGACTATTTTTAGGCTTAAATTGTCTTTTATCCTCATCCTTTGATTTTGGATGAGAAGTCAGAACAGGGTCTAGATCTTCAAATTCTTTGCTTTTAGCAAGTTGCGTGTCCACCCATTGCTCCAACCAATACCTCCACCTTCCGCTTGGTTTTCTATGTTCTGACTCTGCTGACTTCTGCATAATTTTTCCCTCTATTGAGAAATCAACTGAAGTGATAGGCTCAAAAAGGAGTATTAAGCACAGGTTATTCTTACACGATGGTTGAATGAGTATCCCTTTATGCGCTCTCTCTTCAATGCAGCCTCTTTCTTGCTTGAGAACAATGCCTCTGCATCTTTTTTAGACAATAAGCTGTCATCCCACCTTCTTTGGCTGTTTTTATCGACCTAAAGATTTTGAAACAAATTCACCAATATCTTTTTTTACCTTCAGATCAAGAGTAGAGTAGAATAGAAATATGCTGAACCACCTTAAAATGATCAGATTGAAAAAACTAAAAACCTAAAATGTCACAGCCTTTTCAAGTATAATGAAAGAATGTTTATATTCTCGAGGACGACTTGGTCATCCGAAGGAGCAGGGATAAGGAAAAACAGGGGGAGAGAAAGACCTGCCATATTTAAAAATACCATTACCTTGTACCTGATGTGTTTGATCTGACAATTCTCGTCGCAATGCAAATTCCTCTGAACGTTGTGTGATCTGGTTGCGCAGACCTGTGAATTTATATCCACAATGGATTGCAAGCGCTTAAGAGTGGTCATTGCTTGGCGTCTGACAGCCCGGCCTCGAATTATTGCTTGAAGCCTCACTATTCCCCTCAATGCCCTCAGAGCTTTCCTTGCCTGCAGATCTCTCCCCCAAGATATTATTAATCAAAGGCTATTCGGCTATTCATTCTGTTGATTAGGGAAAGAGAATGATCAAATCTGAAAATTAGGTAATCATTCCCATAATCCTTCCACATTGTTCTCTTCAAAATCATGGTTTAACTTGCCTAATGCCGCCGGCAAGTGTTACAGCCCAATCGATTACATAAGACGGGGAACAGATTTTTCCCTAGCTATTAGCATCAGATCCTTCTACATAGGCATGAAAATGAGTCTTCACACCCGCAGTTACAATGTAAATACCCTGACGTGCAACATTTTCTTAGATAAAAGCACAGGTAAGTCAATGAGATTGGCTGGATAGAGTAAACTCACAAGAAATCCCCGAAAGGCGGCTTGAATTCTAATAGCAGCCAATTCTTGGCCTTTCCTTTCATTTTGACGTGTGATGTGGGTTGTGTCCTGGTGTATTATAGCAATATAAGGTTCATCCACTTCTTTTTTGCATTGATGAGACGAAGGATGAGGGTTGCTTGTGAGCTTAGCAACCTCGGCAGCCACCTGAGCAGCCGCAGCAGCAGCTTCAGCAGCAGCTGCCGCGGCAAGAGCCACACTAAGGGCGTGCTTGCTGTGCACTTGTTCCTCCGCATCATCAACTGTCCTTGGGGGTGGTGGTGCTGCAATTGGCGGTAACGTTTTAACTTGAAGCTTCTCAAACACCCATTTCCTTCTTTCCTTCTGATCAAACACATTGATGTCAGAGCCACAAACTTAACAAGAAAAACTTGGAGGTTTCGCTAACACAATAATACAAAATTCACATGTTCATAACCTTCTCTGGCTTTGTTTGCTTCTCTAGCCTAAAGAATCTCTTCACTAGGGTGAACCAGCTCCTCTTTTTCGCCATTGAAGGGCTTCACATGTGAATGTGACCTGGAATGGTGCTATTGGAATGAGAGCGTGCTACTTGGTGATAGCATCAGAGATATGGCAGCACAACAAGCAAACTCAGAAGCAAGCAAGCATTGACGCTGGAGAGCAAGTGATTCATATGAAAGCTGGTAGCTAGTGGCCCAATGAGGAAAATCTGTCAGAATAAAAACTCAGAATGATATTTCTTGTACGAAGGTTCTACACGAGGACCCAAATTGAGGAGGCATAATGCTAAACTGCGCGGAAACCTATGTAGATTGGGAGTACTAACTGGTTTAACTGCTCACTAGGCTCGCCTTTTCTTGCAAAACTAGCAAAATCAATACAAAGTTCGCCACATGGAAAAGCCTTTTCCATTGGGATCTCGGACCAAAATTTCACAAGTACGAGAAAAAATTGCCTTAAATTCAGATCAAGATCAACCCTTTCTTATTTTTATCACATACCCAAAACGGTGATGACTGTGGAGTGTGGATGAATCGCAGACCAGATTTCTTCTCGAGACAATGGAATCACAAATCCCAAAGAGTGAATTTAACTAATGCTTTAAACTCACCAGTTGGGTATGTATGTCCTATAATATATCGATATTCTTCAATAGTATGATTCGCCTTTTTCACGATGAGTTGCATCTGTTGGGCAAGTGGGCCTTGAACAAAGCACTGTGTGGGGAAGGAGAGAAGCCATTTTTGCACTCAGGGAGAGAGAGAGAGAGAGAGAGAGAGCAAAGCTCTGTGAGTGCATTGAATTATTATTATTATTGTGAGAGAGAAGTCTTTTGGAGTTTGATGGGGCCCTGTATGCAGTCTATTATACTGTCAAAGGCATGTTCAAGTGTTTCGTTTTGGGAAGAATATAAACAAGGCTGACACTGCACTCATTCAGCTTTATTTTTCTTTTGTTCTGACCAAGAGCATCATCAATGCATGCAGAAGTGTCCCATCACGTATGATGAGGTTTTGTTTTACCCCTCATTCTTTTGCATACCCCAGCTAAATATCAGGGTGTCCTTGCCTGGGTCTTAAACAAGCGGCGTCCCATCCCAGATGCAATTGCTCTACACATGGCCAGCAAATTTAGAGAAAATGGTAGACAGTATAAACTAAGTTGGAGACCCCATTTTGCACACTTCCGAAGTTTCTTTCCTTCTTCTTCTGGACATTGTTGCCCCCTCTTGGAGACCAAATAGAATCGCACCTTGATCTGAAGTCATTGGTATCACTTGCTTTAATCACGGGGTGTGTGCGTGAACTGAATCAATGACTACAGCGGTGGGTTTCGCACAAATTCCAATTGACCGGATTAGATGTAATCATTATCGCACCCCAAAAAATTTAAACAATTGCAGAAACCTAATACACATGTGTGAAAGAGAGAGAGAGAACTATTATTGGGAGAGATGTGGGGCAGGTTGAATGTGCAAGGGACAGGAGAATGAAAAGAAGAAGACAAAGCAAACATGGGTTATGCAAGAGAGGAATACAGCTGGTGGATGGCCCCTCCAAAACCAAACAAGTCATGATACGTTCTCATCTTTGGCAAAGAAACAAAGAGAATTCCATCCCTTTGCTTTTTTCAGAAGCCCTAAGGGGAGTCCCTTTCGGGGTTACAATCATACAGTGACAGTTGGAGATCCTTCACAGTGTGATTGTTGCAACTTTAGTGTGATCAAGGAAGGCTCTCACATTGAGTCGTCTTTGGATGCCTGCACCTTTCTTGGTAGTTTCCACTTTTTCCAGTGACAATTCATGTTCCTCACTGCTACTGACAATATTGCTACTGTTTTTTTCGGTCTTCGAACAAAAAGAAGTAGAGCCGGCTTGTGTAACAATCGAGAAAGTCCTACGTCTTGTATTCAGTTCATGGGATAATATGCAAATTGCATATACTAATGGCTGCATTCGCATGCAGCTCTTTTAGTTCTTAGGCCAATGAAATGCATTAGATGATATAAGAAAAGGAATCTTGTCAGACATACATTAGACCAAAGAGAGCTATGTAATATACGCAGTGAGCAAGTAGACCTGAAATTTCTACTCTCCAAGCTTACCATTCATCATGTAATTGTAATAGATGGTCAAGTTGTTAAAATTCAGTTTGATAGAAATGTCACTTGCATCTTAACCATTCCTTTATTTGAGTAATTATCATCTCAATATGAAGGTATCGATGTACTCTTTGCCTCACCTAATCCAACAATCGCTTTCTTTCTTTAACTTACAGTTTCCACCATACTGCATTTGGTTTGTCACAAAAGTAGAGGCCCTTTTACATATACCTCAGCATCTCAATATTCATTTCACTGATGCTGGGGAGTTTTTCCAAATTTATGTGCGATCTGTAGTACCCCATAAATTCACATACTCTTCATAATACTCCAAAGACCAATGTTTTCATTGATTATTCCATTTGTACACCCCGAGAAAGCCTTGATAAAACTACAAAAACCAAAAGCATAACAGGAATCAGAAGCTACAAGCATTTGAAACCTCGTTATGTACCAAAGACTAAAGACCAAACGGAGTTCACTGCTTCACTCGATCATAACTCATTCAGCGAGGCTGATGAATGCGTCGAGGAGCGCACTTAACACTCACATTCTGAACTGACTTCTTGCAGAACTTTGGAGACCCCATTACTGGCGATTTGGGCGCTCTGTCCTTGGGTGGCTTTGGTATGCTCAGGTTCTTCAACAGAGCTTTGGCATCCATTTTCGCACCTGTTACCCAAAAAAAAGAAAAAGAAAGATCGAGAAACCAGTTTCAGAATTCAGAAATCCTTTACTCCAACAACAGTTTCCAGAACTATTGCAAAAAGGCTTCACTAAAAAAAAACAATCAAGGAAAAATCTCATCTTTCATCAAACATTGAAAAGCAACAGAGATACAACTACAGATTTATACAAGTAGCAGCACACTAGCAAGACCCAATATGTAACGTGTCAAAATCATCATCATCTTCTTTTTTTTTTTTTTTTTGGTAAGGATCTTCTTCTTCTTCTTTTTTGTCTCTATTTCCTCTTCAAATTCATATCTTGCACAAAATCACAACTTTGATTCGACGATTTCGCTTCACCAACTTATCCATACACCACAGAGGATCGTTACCACGGAGCAGTTTCCTCTCTTCTTCACCAACACCCATCGGATCTGATCCTCCATTCTCCCTCTTATCAACACCATCCAGCTCACCCACGAACATGATCTCCAGAATCATATCATCCTCCTCATCATAACCAAAGGCATCGTCGCAATCATCCGCTCCGAAATCGTCGTCCCCACGCTGGCTCAGCCAGTAATCGCGATACCAAGACGACGCCTTCACGAGCTCCCACCACGCGGGCGAGAAATCCTCCACCTGCCGATACGACATCGGGATGAACGGCTCCGCCTTCGGGTTCAGGCTCGATCTCGCCCCGGACACCAACGCCATCTCCTTGCTCTGCACCGTACCGAACGAAGCAAGCAAGCAAACCGACCAAGAAACCATCAAAAGCTGCGAAATTTGACGCAGTTGTGGAGATCCGTGAAGACTCAACAAGGAAACATCAGTGCTTTTTGCTCACCTCGATCGGGTTTGGATCGTCGAACGCTGATCTAGATTACCAAAGCCAAACAAGTCAAATGGTGACGACTGTTCAAGAGAGAGAATGGATAAGGAGGGAGAGAGAGAGAGGGAAGAAATCCGAGCCTCCTTGGTTCGGGGGTGCCGAACCAGAGGTATGGAGTGATGTGTCGCGACTTGACGATTTTCAAATCGACGGTGGAGCGTGGTTGGGTATGGATCGGACGGCTGCTTTTCGGATGAGACGGGAAGAGATATTTTGGTCAATTAGTCAACGACATTAATCCAGAAGATCATGCTTTGCTGATCATATTCATGACCAAAGGTCGGTCCAGTGCCATTACTCATTATTGATAATGACTTAAATAATTCAAAGATTTTCAAGATTACTGAGCAATTTCCTGAATTTTCATTACATTGCATCGCGTTCATGACGAGATTATCAAAAATTCGTGAATTGAAATCATAGATTATGAAACCTTTTATGAATTTGTGGTTCTAAACTTGCTTGGAAGGAGAGATCACTTTTGTATCGGACACATCTTGTTAGGTTGCTTACAGAAGTACTGAAATCAAGAATCTGTGTTATTAAGAGCATTCGATCAAGCCAGACAATCAAGAAGCACAGGTTATCTATACTGTTTGTCTGTGTAAAGAACAATGTAGAAGCACACGACTGTGCAGCTATGGCCGCTAATTGTTGTCTGTAATACCTTCCCGCTCACTTAAAAAGTCGGGTTATCGGGTGATGCGGAAGGTGTCTTGGACCTTCCTTGTGTCGGCATTCACATACTGCAAGCAACATGTAGATCGAAGTTAAACGAGCACGGAACACATGATCACCATGAATGCAGTAACATGTAGCTGCTCAATGTTCAAAACTCTACTCGCAGTGCAGGACATCAGAAGCTGGACATAGTTTCTGATTTTCACAGCATCACAAGAGGCCAGAACAGGTTATCAATAAATGGAGTCATCTATCGTAACAGATGGAATTAGCACTCATAAAGCCGAAAGGAACGATGATCATGGGAAGGGCGACGGAAAATTCGAGAGTGCTATGCAGTATGCAACATTCGAAAGCGGGTTACTGCTAACCTCTAACCGTAGCTCTTCTGGAGTCGCATGTCCTCTGAAATAGCCGAATTCAGAAATCCTTATCAAACTCCAGTCACTTGGCTGCAAAAAAATATCAATGGGGCTTCACTTGTACAGATCATATTCATGGAGCAACAAAATGGCTAATCCCCATGTAATCGTATAGATTTGAGTTGAATGATATGAGCAGCAGAACCAGCATAGAAAGTTTAATTTCTTAAGAGCAAGTGAAAGAATCTCTGGAATGTAGATATTTCAAGGCCCATGAATGATCAGAAAGCTGTTGTTAAGATGGCATTGTTTAGCTAAGCAGCATTCAACCAATGTAAATGCAGATATTTCAAGGCCCATAAATCAGAAAGCTGTTGTTAAGATGACATTGTTTAGCAAAGCAGCATTCAACCAATGTAAATGCAGTAAATGGAATCGCGATTAAGCACTGACGAATACAAGCACAGATTCTCGGAAAATGCCAAAAGATTGTGCATATTTAGACAAAAAACTATATTGGTTTACTATCTACAATGGGCATGAGGGAGGACAGACTCTAACCTTATCTTCGAATTTATCCAGAGTGAACCCGGCCATACCAATAACCACTTGCATGGGAGCGCTATAATTGCTGTGATCATAAGTATCGACCCCGTTTTGATCTTTCTTTGGCATAGCTTTACACTGATTTTGGTAAACCGAGCATGTTCTTTCATAGTTATGAACGTGGCCGACGAGAACTATATCAACCTGTGAAACAAATGCTCGATGAGTGCACTTTCTCAGATCAACGAATTGTTTAACGTGAAAACCGAATCAAGAAGTGGAAGGTTGCCTTGTTATCCAACAGCAATGGTTCTACAGCATCAAGAAACCTTTGGTCAGCACCTAATCCGGTACCAGAAGTGTACAGGGGCCTGTGACTGCAAGAGGCAACTGTTACACTTGATCTCTGTAGTCTTGAGATTTTTCAGTCTGAAAGTATGCAAAATCAAGTAGAAAAACACATGATCACCGAGAAGCAAATGTACTTACCCCATGAAAACTAACCAAGGAGTTTTAGATCGGTTGACTGAAGCCATGTCCCCTTTCATCCATTGATACTGACAACATGACATTCCCATCACATAAAATGACAGCTCATCGACATGCAAATGTGTTTACAAAAGGGTTCAGCTTGATCGCCCTTACCTGCTCTGAATTCTCGGACCAGTCGTGTTCGGTTGAAATCACGGTAAAATGAACACTGGCTTGTTCTATGGAATACCATGGCTTGTCCTTCGCTGGGGTTGGCATTGGGAAGTATGTCTCATAAGCAATGCCGCATTCCCCCCCGGAGTCCGGAGTTATATACACGGATCCCGAGTCCACATAATCTCTTCACGTAAAAGAAAATTAGAAATCATCATCAAGTCATGCTGCTAAGTATATGTTGGTTCAGCTGTTTACTGAGTCTTCTATAATGTGCAGCAAGAGAAACATATCGACCTGATTTAGTTACCTTTCATGGTTCCCAATTGCAGTCATGTAGGAAACTCGGGAAGCGAAAGGGCTGATGAGGTGGAGGAAGAAATCCCACTCCACTAAGAAGCCGGTGGCGTAGCTTATGTCACCAATATGAAAGATGGCATCCACATTGCCCGAGCCTACATCATCCAACACTGCCTTTGCCACCGACACTGATCCTGGCTATAGAGTCATATAAAGTCGCATTTTATGATACTTTCATAATCAGAAGTTTTAATTCTTACAAACAGCTTAGTCTCTGCCACTTCAGTTAATTCAGATGAATGAGGCGTGCTAATAATGTTTCAGGGAGAACCGGTTTTCAAGATGATACTCCACTCAAATCATGGTATATTTTGTCCCTTCTATCAGCTTTTCTTAAAAATTTGAAGGATACACCTTCCTCTTAGTGTATATCCAGTATGGATAGCATCTTTTCAGCTTTGCTTTCAGAAATGTGATTTTTCATTCTATGGAATGCATGTTTACCTGAATGTAGTGCTCGACTGAATCATCCAGAGGGGCTTTTCCCATATCCCCAAATGCAAGAAATTTGAGTTCATTTGATCCTCCTGCCGGGGGTGTCCTGAACTGAACTTGTTCACTCCAACCAGCTGAATCACTAGATGTCATAAAAGCATTACCAAAATAAATCCAATGTGCCAGCAAATGGTATGAATGCTTCTCATCAATTCAATTTCCAATCATCTAATTGATGCTGGAGAAAAATAGATCACTCCATCTACTTCCACTTGCAGAAACTCATTTGCAGTGTCAGCAATGTTACTCAATCTCAAGATAACAAGATACTCCTTTTTATTGAAAGCCCCAAACCCGATCCTCTCTCAATCAGACATGCAGCTATAGTACATCTTTAAGGACTAAAGCATATAGAAATATTTGCTGGTGCTCCGTCATCTGCCTAATGTTGTGAATTCATAGACAATTGTTATAAGGAACAAGTCCATTGCATGTCAATTCATTCACATTCACTGCAGATTCAATGACCCTGCATCAAGTAGACGTGCCACAGATATTGATTGCACTATGCTCAGCAAGAATAACTCAAGCTGATTTGAAACCGATCAGTCTCATGAACAACATGTTTCAGTCAGAATATTCTACCTTCCGTATTTGTGAGAATAAGAGGTAGAAGGCTGCAGTCCCGTCATCACGGCTGAATGAATGTAGCCGGGGTCATGCCAACCGAAGTCTTTGGCAGGACTAGGTAGCACCTTACCTGTCGAAAAATAGACCAACAAAACTAAATTCAGTGAAGAATGAGTCTTTACGAGGCATTGCGATTGTTTTGCGTGTGACAAGGAAGTCCTAGTGCATTTACACATTTTTCAAGGAAAGGTTTAAGGTTAACTCACTGCACATATCATCTTGGGAGAATGTACTAACTTCGGAAGTTTGTGATTTCCCATCTCCATATTGCACCTCTTGGGGCTCCTTGTCTCCACTAACCCATGTAATCCTCATCTGCATATTAAAGCATGTATGATTACCATTCGCAGTCTGCATTGCTTTCGAGTGTTTTATGCAAAGAGTTATTCCACGCTCAGGTGCAGTGTGTCAAGCAGTCATGGTACCGCGACTTCATGGGCTAATGATATAATTGACATTTTTCTTGACATCCATAGAGCCAAATGTTGGTGACACGACCCACACCAGCTCGACACACCAGTTGGTAGCCAATTGAGTGCTTACCGAGGTCCCGGTCGAGTCAATGCTGGAGAGATGGCCATAGAGCGGTTGGTTCGGGTTTGCAAAAGTCAAAGAGTTCGATCTATTTAACATGCATGGTGTGACAAACCCCCCGGTGAACAGCACAAACTCAATATCGGTTCTGATGTTTACGACGTGAAACGTCAAGGTGGCGCCACATGTGGCCACGGCACATTCACCGTCCTTGTACTCCTTGCACTCCTTCTTCTTGCAGCTCAGATAGTCCGGATCCTTGCTCACGTATTGTGCCTGAAAATGATGCATATAAGCATGCACCAAAGAGTTGAAGTGGAAACATTTCTCCTACTCTCAAACTAATTGGACAACTAATGGTAGGTATACTAGAAGATAAACGGAATTTGGCACATGGCAACTACATAAAGAAAAAGAGGTAGGTAAAATACCAATGGTTGCGATAAATGAAATTCTAAAGCATTTTGATAAGAATGGCTTGCTTAAATATTCAATATAATCGGGCTACATGCATCATTTTACATGTATAAAAAATACAAAAGAATTTGTAAACCTTTCTTGATATCTAGCATTACACAAATAAAAGTTACATATGGAATGTCGCCATTTGACTAATAAATGAAGGACGGTTCTATAAGTCAGTTTCTTATATGTTAAACGAAAACAACAAGGACAAAAGAATCGACAAAGAAAGAACATTGCAAATTATTTGAACCGGGACCAAAATCGACTTTTATTGATTGAACCTTTAGCAGATTATAGAACAACAGATTCTTTTGATTCCCTTTTGAACCCTAAAAAGAGACACTTTGACAAAAAAAGAGGAAGAAAAGAAATAGAAAAATAAAACGGACTCCTATCCTATTTTCTCCTCTTCTTTCGGTGGATGAAGACTTGACGAGGAATATTTCAAACCTTAAAAGCAGCTGCAACCGTTAAAGCTTGAGGTTGGATTGGTATATATACAAATTATAAAGTTGATTTTATTAATTTAGGCGATTCGCACTTAATGAAAATGCACCGCCCATCGGAATATTTCGAAAAGTGATATGCATTCCACATATTTTCCGCATTTTAATCGATTCCGTCTACGGCCACAACACAGTCATCGACATGTCCCTAAGCAAATGAAATTTTCGACATTCTGACGTGAACGCAATGGGACTCCATGACGTGACTTCGTTGGTCGATCATGAGGACTGAACCAAGTCTTGGCAAAAGGAGTTAGGCATGTGCCATGTGATTTCTTTTTCAGTTGCTTCTTCTATTCGGCCCCTGTTGATTCCACTATTTTCTCTAGAGCTCCTCGCTATTTTATGTTTCTATTACTATCATTCATCAAGAAGAAGGTAGATAAGTCATCAACGAAGCATGATTCAATGGTAGATAAATAACCTTGACAGGATAATGGCATAGAAGAGGAAGATCCTTAAGATCACCAGTCTGTACATACAGAGCCTTATTCAGTGGACAATCCGAGACCCTGCAACACAAAAGAAAACACAAGGACAAGATGGAGCTTGAATGAGTAACGATATGTTTCAAAACAAAAGGTTAAAAGTTTTGAGGACGAAAGAACTAGACATCAGGATGATCCGTACTTGGCACCCGATGGAGAAATCATGGCGACCCAGTCGGAATCCGATGGAACCAGGACCCCAGTTACATTAACCGTAAGGTACTCTTCATTCCCGATGGTGGCGTTGCCACTGACATTGATTTGGAGAAACGGGTTTGGGTCGGGACACTCGAGGATTCGCCTTCTGTTCAGCAACCGGAACTCGGATATGGCGGTGTAGTTGAGATGCTCGAGCATGGAGTCGACCACCAATGGGTGCAAGTTTGATGGTGACAAAGGAGACGACAAAGAAGAAGAAATTGAAGCAAAAAGTATGATGGTAATGGATAAGATGGCGACTTGTGTTGGAATGTGGAGTTCCATATTGGAGAAGCAAAATGCTTTGGATGGATGAAAACGAAGGCCTTCTTTGTATACTAACAAGAAAGAGAGGTATGATTTAGTCGAGAGAGAGAGAGGGGGGGGAATGTGTTTGGAGGATAGAGGTGTAAGTTGAATGTTTAGGATCCAATACTTATGGAAGTATATCCGGTATATATGGTTTCTATAGAGGAGGAGGATGCTATTTACCTTAAATAACCAAAAAAAGTGAAGAGGATACCATGTTTCTTGACGTTAACATATGCAGAGTTGCTGATAGTTCATCACATGCTCGACAATGCATTAATTAGTCCAGAGCTGAGATTTGTTAATTCTATCCAATGTGAATTGGATCAGCTTTCAATAGCTGGAACTATCGAATGGGTGGATCGGATTTGAGTCAAGTCGAAAATGGTCTAACCCATATTGACCCATTTAACTCGTTTTGACCCATTCCCATTCAACACAATTCTAGCGACTCATACTCAATTCAATCCATATCCGACCCATACCCAACCCAACTAATATCACTATATTAAATTCAATTTAGAAAACTTGTTTCTTATAAAATTTTAAAAATATATATTGCTAAAACATGTGGACAATTTTTATAATTTTTTAAAAAATTCTGATTTTTTAAAATAATTTTATATTCCTTTTCTTTTTCTTTCTTTTTTTCTTCTACATCTAGCGAATTACAGCCGATCGGCGACAACCAAAGATCGGCCGGCAATTGGCAACAACTGTCGATCGGTGACCGATGACCGGTGACCAATGGTTGACAACTGGCCAGCAACAATGGACGATCGACGGCCGATGGTGACCAAAGACCGGCAAGCGATGACCAGTGATCGACAGCCAGCGACCCTTGCTGGATTTCCTAGAAAAAAAAAAGGAAAAGAAAGAAAAAATCAAAAAATTAAAAGAATTAAAAAAATGACATGTATATCTATGACCCATTTAAAACCCATTTATGACCTATTAAGTTGTTAACTAACCCATTTATGACCCACTTAAACTTTGTTTTCAAAATTTAAGCCAACCCATTTATAACCCACTGTCGCGCCGCGCTTTTGGTACGCTAAGGAGGTACTTCCATTCGTCACGAATGGGAAAACTGTTCCCGAATGAGCTACTAGAGTCCGATATGGATATTTCGCTCAAACGTCCCACAGACATCCCATTACTAGACAAACGGGGCCCTCTCCCAGACCATACCTCACGTGATAGCAGCTTGTGATTTTTATCTTTCTATTTAATCTATGTTTTTGATTTGGAGTCGCTACTAGTCATTATTGGTAGTTGACTAGAAACCTAATCGAGGTACGGGAGAAATACCACGATTCTACGAACTAGAAATTCTGAATACGGGGACTTGGTTACGCTAATGATCCAGAATCGAGATCTCTAACGCCCTTTCAGTACCTAAAACGATATGATGTGTCTAACGTGCCGCACGAGTTTTCGAGGTCTATCCACTAATACTAACCATTCTAAACATGAGAACTCAATCAATCAATATAATCAACATAATCAATTGCAATCAAAGAAAACAATCCTAATTTGAGTTTCTACAAATAAATCAATTCAAAACACTCAAACCCTAGTAAAACACTAAAGGCTTGTTCATTAAGTGATGTGCTGTTTTTAGGGTTTAGGTTTTTTTTAGGGGTAAAAACCCCTAAACTAAAGATTTTCTAAAAATGCCGTTTAGGCGCCTCTAAAAATTATAATTTCACTTGCAAAGGTTGGCCACAATATTTTTGGGCCATTTTGTGAATTTTTGAATTTTTTGAATTTTTTTGATTCTTTTTTGAATTTTTTTTCTTTTTCCGAAGTCAGATCTTTTATTTTCTGAAAATTTTTATGGGATTTTTTCAAATTTTTAAGAATTTTCTAAATTTTTCTCATTTTCTATGAATTTTCTAAGAATTTTTTAGATTTTTGTGGATTTTCTAAAATTTTCGATTTTTTTTTTATGATTTTCTGAAATTTTCTGATTTTTTTTATTTTCTGGAATTTTCTGATATTTTTTAGAGTTTTTTTAGAATTTTTCAAAAAAAAAAATTTGATTTTCCCGTCGGTAATCGAACCGGGCCGAACCGGGTTTAGCGGCACTGGCGTCGGCCGGCGCTCCGGCGGGCACAGTGCCGAAACGGCACCGTTTTGGCCCCCTGTTCTTTGGGGCATTTCCCCGAACATGTGGTATGCATGTTTCTTCCTTTTGGGTTTTCAAGGTCGCTTATTCTAGCCTTCCTCCGGCGACCTTCCGATGACTTTCAAGACCTGATTATCGGTTTTATACCTAGACTAGATCATCCTCTATCAACATCAACTCATAGATTCGCCGTCGGATTATCACCGGTCGGCGAAATTCAGGCTTAAAAAACTTAAATTATTTCTGTCTAAAAAACTAACATTTCCAAAATTCAAATCATTATCCTAATCGTCCTAGCCGTCTGAATCGTTCAAAATGAACATGAAATCATCAAACAAGGCAAGAGTTGACTAACTTGAGTGGCCTAAGGCCATAGGAAGTACTTTGGCAAGGGTCCCCGAGCTCCGGCGAGGTTTAACAATAGCGGTCGACTTGGTTTTATGCATATTCAACCATTCCAAATGCAAATAATCAACGAAAATGTGATTAGAAATGTATTCTAAACATCTAGAACCTCAAAATTTAGAGAGAAAATCGCATAATCACCAAGATTGAACTCAATCGTGTTCTCTGGAATTCTGGAAAATCCGTTATGAGTATCGAACTTTACCTGCTTCGTTTGGAATTGAAACGTTATCCCCGGGCTAATCTGCGCCTGTGGACCTCTTCCTTGACACTTGTACTACGAGCTGATAATCTTAGATTCGCCAAAGGAGTTTTGGACGTGCCGGTCGAGCTCGATTTTCAGGCACCGGCGATCAAGCTTGTACCTATCGTCTCAGGTGAGGAAGCTCACCGTTTAGGCCGATTCGCTAGCGCTTTTCCAGCCAAAAAAGTGCCGATCACTCGGTCTTCGGAGCCTCAACTCACTCTCTCTTTCTCTCTAGAAATCTCTCTTTCTCTCTCTAACTCTCTCTCTCTTCTCTTTGGAATTTTTTCGAGCAGGTTCTCTGCCTTTTGGTAATGTTTCTCCAGTTTTTTCTAGCTAGATTTTCCCGCTTAAAGTTGGTTATCACCGACTTGGGGTTGGTTGGATCGAATCTTCGATGCCAGCCGGAGATTCTCCAGCTAGAATCGGAGTTTAAAACGTGCTTATTGGGTTGGATTAAGTCGGCAAAGAGGTGGGCATGAGTTGATTTTTCTAGGTATAGTATGCTTCGGGCGAGTCGGGTGTAGAAGGAGACTATCCCAGGTCAGGTCAAGTCGACTTGGTTGGCTCGGCAGACCCGGGTTGGTATAGATTCGCAAATTAAGCTCGATTTTGAACCAATTTTCATATTTAACCCCAAAATTGAATTCCTCATCACATTTCTCACCCAAATATGTGATTTGCCCTAATTTTTATCACAATTAAACCCAAAATTCTCAAATTGTAAATTCGAATCATTAGGGTTTTTGTTCAATTCAATATCCAAATGACCTGATTGGGCAAAATTGGTGCCAAAATTAGATTACCTATGACTGATTAACCCTAGAAATGATGGTCTCATGATTCGACAATTTCAAATTGATAATGATCCCCAATTTGGGCTAAAAATCCCTAATTTTCAATCGGATTTTAGGGCATTTTGATTTTCTTGGTAAATTATACAATTGGACCAACTATTATGTAATTCAAGATTCCAGGATCATTTGTTGTGAAGACACTACGACCGAAAAAAGACTGGAAATGAACTAATTGAATTTTTTATTCAATTTGGACTTGTTTTTACCCAATATTGGGAAAAACACATTCCCAATTGAAATTTTCTAAAATTGATGCTGTATTAATAAAATTGGATTTAAAAGAAGGCTAATGACTATTTTTATGGAATTTTTGGATTCCATTTGCTATTTTTCTTAATTTTCACCCTTATTTTGACCAAAAGAAATTAAAGAAAAATAAAAAAAATATTTTTGGTTTAGAAAATAGGTTCCTAAGCTTGGCCAAGGTTCCTAGTCCTAATTTTGTGATTTTTCGAAAAATCTGAAAAATGAGCTAAAAATCAGGTATCAACAACTGCCCCTATTTGAGATTGAGCTTGTTTAAGGTTGATTTCAAAGATAAGGTGATACCTGAGCTTTTAATAGACTCTACGGACAAAACAAATGAAAATTTCACGACAACTGATTAGGAATCTTGCTTGAAATTGATGATCCAACCCAAATTTCCTCTTTTGAATGCATCTAAGAGGTTCCTAATGATCAAGGGATAGAGAAACTTATCTGTTTGTGAGCAGTTTCCTTGTTGATTATCTCCAAAATGTGAATTGATGGTAGTGATGATGATGATTATGATGAATTGATTTATGATCTCGCGGTTTAAGGATATATCCAAGAACCATGAGTGCTTGAGGTTCCTCGCCTGAGGACTTAATGATTTTGCCTAGTAGCTCCTCGCCAGTAGGGCTTTGTATGATTTTTAGTTGACCAAAAACTATTTGAAATGTGGTTTTAAGTTTACCACCAACTACTCGGTTTAAAGTTGACCAAAAACTATTTGAAATGTGGTTTTGAGTTTACCACCAACTACTTGGTTTAAAGTTGACCAAAAACTATTTGAAAACTTGGGTGATTTTGAAACAATGCATTCTTTGTGTTAATGCATTTTGACAATCAGATTTCCTTTTAAGGGAAGCATTTGAGCAAATTGCTTGAAATCTATTTAGAATAATCATTTGGAAGACTTTCATTAGAAAGGACTTATCTCAATCTATGAATTTGGTCTTTTTCGCTAATTGAAATGGGAATCATCTTGAGACCCTCAATTCATCTCTCTCAATCGATCCTCATGTACTCAAAGATGTTCGTAATGTATACAATCCGATTGATCTGGTAAGATCTTCCAAAGGATTGTAATGTATGCTTGGTCAATGGCTATTCAAAGGATAGGATAGGCATT